AACAGGGAGAGGATGTGTCTCTCTGGGCGTGAATACACAGTGCTTTGGTGCACTACACCGATGACGAATACTGGGCTCGTCGCGATATAATTTATTACGATACAATTCGATACAATATCGATTGTCGTGGCACCGTATTGGGTTTCCTTTAACTATGTAATGTCATATTCTTAGTTTTTTCGGTAACATATGCATCGTATCGTTGTGCTTTGCTGTAAAACCAGTACGCATGCGATTTAAGTTCAAAAGTTCTTCCGACTGCGGTCCGGTGGACGTAAGCCCGCCACAAGTATGGCACTTACTTAATCGTTGCGGCCCTGCAACCGCGAACGCGGCACGTCACCAGTCCGCCGCAAGTGATTCAGGCAGCCGAGAAAACGACGATGTCGCCGCGCCGCCAATTACTCCGAAGAAACAAAACAAAAAAAACATTTCACAAGGCGCTAATTTAACGGATAATAGCTATTTATTTACAACTTTATTTATTGGGATTGTAAATTTCATAAATACTTTGCCAGGATGTGACGCATTTAAGAGAAGAGTTTAAGAAAAAAATGAAACGATGTTCACGATGTTTTTTGTTTTTGTTTTTCGTTACAAAACCGACGACGCGGCTATCGTGGGCCTTACGTCGTCACGGCATATCGTAGAAGCGTCACGTCGCGGCGACCCAAGTGAACCCACGAGCATCCAAACCGCCTGAGCGATGGGTCTGAAGGGACCTCTCCGTGGTGCACCAGCAGTAGCTGGCCACTCGCAGGAGGCCCGCACGTTGCCACCAGCATTTGACGTTTCCCATTTTTAAGAAATTGGTTTCACCGCTCCCATCGGGAAGGTTATAATGATCCTTAATGCAGGTGAATTCGGCCTACAAACTCCACAGTTATTTATACCTTTGTGTAATTTCACAAAGACCAGTTTTTGCTTCTTGGAGAGAAAACAATATATCAGGTGGTGAGATTATCCGCATGCTCTGCTGACTTCTGATCGCGTGATGTAAACACCTTTCACGTATGATTCATAATTGTTTTTTTGGGTCAGATCACGAAAATATAATGTCTGTCGTAAACCTTCCTCCGCCCAACACAGCCAATTGATGAGGTTGTCACGTGAACATACGTGCCAATATATTACTGCTTCAGCACAACTGGTGTGTTGGAGAGAAATGCACACACGTTCAACAGCTGACTGGCAAAAACAACCCCCATCCCTTCGGTGGCTGCGAGGGGCTGGTAACCCCTTAACCTTTAAACTCAATCACATCCAAAAACCACGAATAAAAGATCATAATAAGCTTGTGCCAGAGGGCCCAGAGGAGAACTGGCGTTCATGGTGGAGCCAGGAGACTGAACCCCCACCGTCGGGGTTCCTCCAGAAACAGCATAACACTACTGCGAGTATCCACATGGAATGTACGAATGCCTAAAGCCGAGGAGAGGCTGCCGTTTCTCTGTCAGGAGCTGGGACCGGTATCGCCTGGACCTCTGGAATACAGGAGGGCTGGTGGACTAATTCTGGTTCATCACGAGGGGTGGACAATCCTACACTCGGGGCAGGAAATAGCCACATAAAAGGCAGTGGCTCTGCCTATGAGAAAAATAACGGAGTGTGGGAGCAGGGCGGTGAGGTCTGGGAGCTGCAAGTCCCAGAGAGTTGTGAACTCACCTCCCCATCAACAGGAGAAATAGTGGTGGTGGCTTATACCCCCATCGAAGATGAACAGCTGGGGGGATGCAGGCAAGGCTGATGAGTCAAAATGCCTTCTATCACCTCCTGTCACAGGTGCTAGCTAAAGTGGCCCCTCAGGTTAGAGTCACCCTGTTGGGTGACATTAATGTCCAAGTGGGCCATGACACCAACACCTGGGCTGGACTGATTGGACGGCATGGGCCACATCAGCTTAATAATAACGGGAGGCTGCTAGACATCTGAGCAGCCCATGGACTTGTAATCACCAACAGGCTTTTCCAGCATTGGCGCATCTACACATAATAGATGCACGCCAGGTCCAAGCAATACCACCTGCTGGACTAGATAGTGATGGAACAGCGGGCGCGGGCTTATGTCCTCAACACCAGGACTTGTCATCTGTAAGATGCACCTGCCATTCGTCCACTGTGGTAATGGGTATCTACCCAGGACCCCATTCAAACCCACGGTGGCTTGGTCTCAGCTAGATAACGAAAGAAAACAAACAAAATAAATCACGACGTTTCGAACGCAACACAAGCGCCCGTCTTCAGGTGAAAATCGCGATATCCGCGAAGCCCGCTGTCCACAAGGCAGCAGACATCGCGCTGCTCGCAGCGGACGACGCGGATATCGCGATTTTCACCTGAAGACGGGCGCTTGTGTTGCGTTCGAAACGTCGTGATTTATTTAGTTTGATTTCTAGCCACGTGACTTGACCGAAAGAACCAAACAGTATGGATTCCTGCAGTCACGAAAGCTTCAAATCAAGACGAATGAAAGAAGTGAGAATTTCATAATCACTTGCAGCTGGGTTTGGCATTGTCCACCCCCCCCCCCCCCCGCCTCCTGAATCCGAAGAGAAATGGGTGAGGTTCAGGACCGTGGCTCATGCAGATGCAACGACAGCATTGGGTATGCAGTCCAGACCTCCCCAGAGATCCTGACTAACAGAGGCGTTGTTCTGGCTTGCTGACATAAAGCAACAGGCCCACTCCCAGGCTATAACATCCCACGTTGAAGAATGAGGCTTACCGCAGCCTTTGCTTAGAGATTCGGAGAGCCGTGCTGCAAGGGTGTGGTGTTGAGGAGACGGAAAATGCCTCAGTAGTTCGTGATCACAAATTGCTGTTGAATTCCATAAAAAAACACTAACTTGAAGTGCCACACATATTACCACCCTCAAGGGAAAGAACGGCGATCCAAACACCAACTACCAGGAGAAGCTCTGCAGGATTACCGATCATTTCTGAGGTCTCGGAAGAGGAGAAATCCCTCAGCCCAGAAAAGAGCGTGGGGTAAGGTGGGGATAACCCCGCTGGGGCTGCAGTGCCTCAAAAACTGGAAGAAGTAGCCACACACATTTGTGAGTGGCTGGCTGAGGTGCCATTTATTGAGAAGTACGAAAAACAATCCAGAGTCTGAGACCAGGAAAAGTGCTAGGCAGAGATGATCTCCCAAGCGAATTGTTGAGGGAGGGTGGCGGTGATCTGCAGACTGGCCTAAATGACATAGTCAAAACTGTCTGGACTCCAGCACAGGTTCCGCGAGATTTTAAGGATGCCCTGGTGGTCCCCTTCTTAAAGAAGGGGAACCGTACTGATTGCAACAACTACCGAGGGATCTGTCTCATCTGTGTGCTCGGAAGAGTCCTGGAAAGGATTATGAAACATCGTCTTGCCATGCACGCTGAGGAGATGCTTGCGGAGCCCCACAATGTGTTTTAGGTTCAGGCGGTCCTGCACATATTCCTTCTTCTCTGTCTGACTGATACAACAGCTATGTACAGGATTTTACTGGGACCTACATTTCTGCTTTCTTGACCTGACCAAGGTCTATGATACCATCTATAAGCTACGGTTCTGGGTTATTCTTCATGTATGTATGTTGACCTTATTTTGAGGACCTTCATGATGGTGGGTAGGTCCGGGTAAAGCTGTGTGGCCAGCAGTCAGGTCCACTTTAGGGTGCGACAGGGATGTCCTCTGGCTCTTACATTATTTAACATATTTTTGCAACCACGTAGTTTTAGAAGTTTTCCATCGTTATACCAGAGGAAGTTCCATCTGGTAAGATACAATAGTAGGCTCATCAATGTCCGAGTGTGGTCAAGAGATGGCTCCCATTTGGTCAACCATGTTATGTATGAACTGGTGATTGCTGCTCACTCTGAGAAGTTGGAGACTCTGCTGAACCTATAGCGAGTAACTGAGAGCTGGGGCAGTTGTGGAGAGAGTGTAAAAGTTTCTATATCTGGTCAGTGTGCTTATAACCAGCATTGGTTTGGAACCAGAGGTCTCGTTCAAAATCAGTCTAGCGGCATTATCCTTTCATCAGCTGCGTAACGCTGCATGGAAGCCCCCTGGTCTGTCGCTCTACACGAAGCTTAGGGTCTGCTCGGCTACAGTTATGCTCTCCCTTCTCCATGCATGTGAAACGTGGAGCCCTCCAAAGGAACATCTGCGCTGGGTTGAAACATTCAGGCTGGCCTGCCTATGATTCATCCTGGATTTAACCAGACTGGATTGTGTGAGAAAACAGATCCTCGAAAGATCTAAACACAGTCCCATAAGTAAGCTACTCCAACAGGCGAGGCTGCGTTGGCTGGGTCATGTAGCCCGAATGCCCAGCCACCTTATGCCCAAGCAGATTATATTTGGTCAGATAGATGGGACTAAATGGGCACGGCACGGTCTAGAGAAGATAGAGAAGAGATGGACTGATGTGGTACAGAAAGATGTGGAGCTGATTGGACTTGCCGATGACTGGTACCAGCAGTGTCAAGATCGCTCTCTGTGGAGGAGGCACATGATGGAAGCTGCTGGGGAGTTATAGGCAGTCGCCCTCCAACGACAACGGAGGCTGGAAGAGCGACGCTCACAACAAGTGGATCGCCGGGCGGCTAAAACACATCAAGTTTGGCACAGTGTAGAGCACAGCTGGTACATCTGCCAGTCATTTCAATCAACCCATGGCACCTGGATCTGTCCCATGACCTCCTGCCAACGAACATTTGACACTTCACGTGGCCTCAGTGTGCACAAGCACCGTGGTAACGTCACCGCCACTCAGTGGTGAACGGCAATTTTTGCTTTCGTCGTAGTGTGCCAGTGTGTGTGAGTGCGGCTGTGTGAGTGGGGAGCGGTAGTGCAGCGGTTAGCGCACTGCGCTACGAACCCCCCCCCCGATCCGAGTTCGATCCCCGTTCATGGCCAACACCAGCGACGATCATTTGAACTGGTCCTGGGCCTCCCCTAGGTCGACTCGGCCTCGAACGAGCACTGGGGAGGCAAAGGCGGCCGGGCGCGGCGCTGGCCACCCACCCCCTTTGTGCGCCGCGCCGCCGTCCTTCATGGGTGCTCGCCAACAGCACTCGACCCGACAGTGTGTTCCAGGCTGCACGGGGGAGACTTTGCCTTCGTTTGGTCTTCGTGGTGTTGACTGCGCGAGCGACTGTGCGCTTGCGCGTGCCTACGGCTGGAGGGCGCGTAGCACGTTGTGCAGCTGCGGGAAGGAGGGCCGGGCGCGCGAGTCCCGTCTCCAGCACGCGCACATCAGCTCGTAGAGCGGCTCAGGGCACAGGGCCGGTCTGGGCAGCACCGTCTGGGCGGTGAGAGGGTGGGTTCGGGGCGGTGGGGGGGGAGCACACAAAGGCAAAGACAACACGTGTAGCCTTAACAATATGGTGGGGCGCGTGCTGTTGGCGAGCACCTATGAAGGCCCCGGCACGGCGCACGAGGGGGTTGGGTTGTCAGCACCACGCCCGGCCGCCTTTGTCTCCCCAGCGGCGATGTTTATACACCGCACCGGGCACTCATTTGAGTCAACACTTACAGAAATGCAAACGCAAGCACATGAGCGCGCACGCATGCGTCAATATGAATACACAAAAAACGCACACAGCAATAACATGGGGAGGTATTCATTAAACAGTGGGCACAGAAATGGCTTACGGTGACGACTTAATTGCGATTAAGTACAGCAGCTTCAGCGTGGGGAAAAAACATTCGTCTAGTAGTCAATCAGTAGACTGGCTTCCTCTGACGAGAAAAGCAAAGCTCATCACACACGTGCATGCCACTGCATCAGAATGAAACAAATTATTTGGTGACGCTGCGTTTGGCAGTGGTGCACAAGCACACATAACAACGCGCTGTGAAGAAGGGGGCATTGCCCCCGAAACGTTGCCTGTAATATATTCATGAAGGCCACCACAGCGTCACTGACAAACGTGTGGTCGAGTTCTTGTGTTTCATCGGAGACCATTAGTCAAAGATGGCCCTGGCGCTGTCTCCGCTGATCGCTCGTAAACACAACCAAAGACAAAGATCCCCCCGTGTGGCCTTAACAGACTGTTGAGGCAAGTGCTGTTAGCGAGCAGCACTTACAAAGGCCGGCACAGCACACAAAAGGAGGTGTGTGGCCAACACCACGCCCGGCCGCCTTTGTCTCCCGAGTTGCAATATTTACACACCGCACCAGGTGCTAGGGGAGGCGCAGGATCGGTTCGGATAATCATCACTGGGCTTTGGGTCAATTCGAACTTGGGTCACCGGGTTCGTCGCGCAGTGCAGTGCTAACCGCTGCGCCACCACTCCCCACTCGTAAACACAAAAACATGCACGCGCACAGGCACGCGCGCGCGCGACATCAACGCAGCCGTCACGCCCTCCCGTAGTACTCGCTCGAGCTGCCGAGCCGGGGTGGGCAGGGCAGCAGGGAGTGGCTCTCACCTCTTACGCTGTCATAGCAGACACCTGCCGAGCGCAGCTGTCACACAGGTCCTGAGCGGACAACTCAGCTGGGACAATGGCAAAGGTGTTTTTATTTTCGTGAAGCTGGCCGAGGAGGAATGCGGCTGTAGTGAGGTGGCTCCTCACGAAATTCCAGGCCCTTCTCGAGTGGGGGCCCCCCCCCCCCACCCCTGCTGCTACCTCTGCTGTTGCTGCAGTGGCTGTGAGTGGAATATTTGTTTTTATTTTTGTGAAGCTTCTTGTTTTAGTTCTAAATATTTTTTCTCTGTAAAGGCTGTAAAAGTATGCTTGCACGGACAAACACTGCGGGGTTTAAATGTGCTGGTGGGCGAGAGATTCACTCGCGATCGTAAGGCTGCGCGCGTTGAAATCCCCCTTTTTGCTCTGGGGTCAATACTAATTCAGCACCCTGTATTGGTGGTCAAACTACCTACGGACAGACAGGCACCCACCATGCTAATGTGGAATTTCCGCCACTGGCTCAGGGGGCTCACCATTTGCTCATTTGAGCAAATAGTGACCCTTCACTTTAAACTTTTTTTTTGTCGTACGTAAGGTTTTTACATCTCGTTCATGTTTGAGTTTGTGGCAATACGTGTTCAGTCACTGCCGCGCTTGTGTTATTTTGATCCTTAATGCTGGAGATTGGTGAACGGTGGAGGGGGGGGGGATGTATGGCGCATTTTACGTTTATGCAACTCGCTTGAATTTTCACGATAAGAAATTTGCTTCTTCGACCCTTCGCTTGCACCACCAATGGTTGCATGAGGAGGCGTCGTTTTGACATCCGATCGCGCTCATCTGAATCGGTTGTTTTCACGTCGCGCGTGCCAATGAGGTTTTTTTTACGTAAACCCTGTGGCCGCAATGTAAACAAATGAACGAATCAATTCTCAAACAGAATTTGGATAACTGAATTGGGATAATTTATAGGGTCGCGCGGGCAGAGATCCTCTGCATAGCCTTCACAGGGCGTTGGGAAAAGTGCTGTTGGCGAGCACCTGTGAAGACTGGTATGGCATCACAAGTGGGTGGGTGGCCAACACCATGCGCGGCAACCTTTGTCTCCCCCTGTGCTGATGCGTATTCACCACACGAAGTACTCATTTAAAGTAAAGTTGACCAAAGGGAGGCCCAAGGATCCGTTCAAATATTGGCCGCTGTTATTGGTTAAGATGGGAATCGAACTCGGTTCGCCGGGTTCGTAGCGGAGTGCAGTACACTAACCACTAAGCTGATGCACATGTGTGTGCAAAGACAAAGATTCCCGTATAGCCTCTAACAGACGGTTAGGGAAAGTGCTGTTAGCAATTTGCACCTATGAAGACTGGCAGAGCACACCAGGGGGTGAGTGACCAGCACCATGCCCGCCCGCCCGCCCGCCCGCCTTCCTTCGTCTCCCTCGTGAAGCCTCAACATACGGCTGAGGCAAATGCTGTTAACGAGCACGTGGAGAGACAAGAACAACAACAACAACCGCCATTCGCCACTAAGTGGCGGTGACATCCCCATGGCGCTTGTGCCAGGCTAGGTGCACTTTACGGCCACGTGAAGTGTCAAACCCCCGCTCGCAGGGAGTCACGTGACAGACCCAGGTGGTGCCACGTGTTCGCTGAGCGAAACGACTGGCCCTTGCACTACCTGTGCACCCCTACTGTGCCAACTCGCTGCATTTTAGCCCCCCCCCCCCCACCCGGCGCTCCGCTCTTGGTTGTCGTGAGCGTCGCTCCCCCCATAGCCCTCCGTTCCCGCCGGAGAGCGACAGCCTCCAACTGCCCAGCGGCGTCCTTCGCGAGCCTCGCGCAAGTCCGCACGCTCGTGCCGGCGCTTACCTGTCGGCCCTGGTCCCTGAAGAACTCGCCCGTGTTCTCGATGACCTGCTCGTCGGTGAGCGCCCCGTACGGCTGCTCCCTGCACAGCGTGAGCATCTCCCACAGCGTCACGCCGAACGCCCACACGTCTGACGCCGGCGTGAACTTCCCCTGTTGGCCGGCAGAGACGGAACACAGAGGGAGTGAGTCCACCACCGCCACCGCCACCGCCACCACAACCACCACCACCACCGCAACCGCAACGCTTTACACCTGCCCTCTGTAGGGTGCCTGTCACGGATCTGGCTACTGCCACTCTCATCGTCGATCCGTTAACCATTCGTCTCTCCGATGCTGCTGCCATCACTGCCGCAGTTGTTGTATCCCATCGCTGATCTGTTTCCTCCTCATCGCTCTGTTGATATTTTATTTTACCAGGTAAGGCCCACTGAGCCATGTTGCTCTTTTTCAGAAGCGACCTGGCCACAAATGAAAGCTCAACAAGGTGGCTTATCATGTGGAAATTTATAGCAGCCAAATAATCTAAACGCAGGTTTCTAAATGCGGAGGGATAAACCGGAGAAAAATCCACGCAACCATGGGGAGAACATGCAAACTCCAAATATACAGGCGTCGAGAGTCGGTATCGAACCCACGACCTCCTGTATACTCAGCGAGGTGGTTAACATCTCACCACCGCAGTGCCCGACCCCCCACCCACCCACCCCTTGTCAGTTGGGTTCACAGCACGAATGTTTGATCGGTGCCAAAACCCAGCGTTCACATTTCATGGCCTAGAGCCAGGAGGAATGTCATGAATATCGCCTTTCTCATAACGCCTAGACAATCGCTGCCCATCCGCAAATATTTACACAAGTCGAAGAGTCACGCGAGGCACGGAGACGTCATCGATCGCCGCATTTCTAAATGTGGTGCCCTGCAGGCTGTCCTAATAATAAGCCCTGCTTGTTCAAAGAAGCTGATCTAAAAATCACAATTCAATGCGAACGATTCCCGGTTGAACTTTATGCACAAACAAAAACGCATCACCTTTCTTGTGAACACCGCCTCGCGGTGTGTCAACGCTTGGGGGCATCGCTGTAATTTCTTGCGTGCCAGTCTAATGGCTCTGAAGCAGTTCATTGACTACCCACTGCTTAAATTGCGAGCATATTACACATGCTTCTGTTAATTAACCTTTTCACAACAAAGCCAGTGTTCATGAACAAAATAACATTTTTTTATGCTTGTACACCCCTGCTTGTGCACTTTGTACGGTACTTTATTAATTGCTTAACAGGTGGGAGCCCGTTCGGATTCAATGGCGATTTGACAAATGAATCGCATGCCCTCGAGTGCAATAGTAATTTTGTATTTTAAAATGTAAGCTCGGTTTCGGAGACACAACCAGTAACACCGAATGTATGAGAGTATTCTCTCGTTCTTCACTAACTTGCTATCCGTGATTGTGTCTACCCGCGAATTGCATCTCGAACTCTTCACGACTGCACCGAGAGAAAGAAAGTGATGAGATTAAATAATGTTTTTATACTTTCATGTATTTTTATTTACTTTATGTCCATTATAACCGATTATTTTTTGTGTTATGATCATGTTCGTGTATTTAATAGCTTTTTGTATATATGTATCAATTTAAGGTAATTAATTCAAAAGATATACTTTTTCTTTGGCCAATATCATTATCCGCCAAATTTGCTATTCACAAGCATCCCCGAAACGTATCCCTCGTGAATAACAAGGCAATACTGCACTTCTAATAAAACATATTGCACCGTATCGGCATGACGCCTTGAATAGTTTCCTTCAGCAATTCTGCCGTTATCACCCATCAACACCGCCTTAGAACAGTGCAATGGCCAATGAGCAAAGTCTCCCAGAATGCACCCGATCTCGTCAGATGTCGGAAACTAAGCAGGGGTTGAGCCTGGACAGTGCTTGGATGGGCCGCCAACACGCGCGAATCACGTGTTGTGCAGGAGGCTGCTGCACGAGCACATTTACCGGACACCTGCGACAAAGAGCTTCGTAGCTCATCAGATTCCTCCAGTCTCAATAAAGATCACGATTCCGATACACTGCCAGCAGATTGCTGCACCATGCTGCCCACTTCCAACCGAACCCGCATTGACCTATGGGGTGAAGTATGGTCGGATAACTCCCGTGACCCACACGGCATGGGAGGATGGGCAACGACCGGGCGCAATCAACGATGCTATCGGGCTGCTCTCGGTGCTAGGTGGTGGTCAGCGCAGGCCAGTGCTGCAAGGTCCGTTGTACTGTACTTTGGCGCTCCCGTGTCTATGCTCCCCGCCTGCACTGTGCCACGGTGACCAGCATGGTGACGTTTGGTCAAATGACCACCAGGACCCACGTTGCGGATGGAGGCTTTCATGAAACAGTGGATTTACTAAAGAGCTGTACGTGTACATACATACATACAAACCAGGCGAATATAAAGCCGCTCATATGGAATGTGTCCCCCATATTGAAATTGATCCAAAACAAATATAAAACGTCGGAAGATCCGATGTTCAGCTTTGTTTCTCGGACTCATCCGAAAACATGACACCGCAGGAGTTGACATCACTTCCCTAACGCCACGTCCGTGCTCTTCCCACCAAGAGCGGTGTTCGCGTGACATCGCTTTTGAAAGCACGGATAATAATAATAATAATTTCAACCTGTAACGCACCGCGGTCTGCGCCCGCTCTCGTAGAGAGAGGGAACGACTCGAGATGCGTGAGGAGGAACCACAGACAGGCGGGAAGGCAGCAGCCACACGGTGAGCGGGGCACCCGAAAAAAATTACCCAAGCTCAGCGGTCCTCGATATATAAAGGTGTTAGGGGCCAATTCATAAGCGTTTTACAATGCGGGGGGAAACCAGAGCGCCTGGAGAAAACCCACGCATGTGAGGGGGAAATGCTCGATCCCATACAGACGGAACATGTGGAGCCCACATTTCTGCTGTACCGCTGTCTCCTGGCGAGATGGGGGTACAGCTCCTCAACGTCCATAGGAAGGGAAGTTTCACAACATTTGTGTGATAGACCAACCCTCACTGCCTCCTCCAGTGCTGGATTACAGGCATGCGTCGCCACCAAGGATGTGCTAAATTATTCCAAAATACAAGTGATCAGAAAAGCCCCCGAAAATATACCGTGCATGACATTGTCCTTAAAAGTCCGAAAAGCAGAACACATTTCATTCGAAACCCATACCTAGCAGCGCTGTGCGGATCACTGGCTAGCCGTCATACGCTCATGCTGCACGGCAGTGCTCAAGCGGGTGGGCGAGATGTTAACTGCTTCGCCTGGTATATGGGAGACCGTGGGTTCGATCCCGACCCTGACGCCTGCTGTATATTTGGAGTGTGTATGTTCTCCCCGTGGTCGCGTGGATTTTACTCCAGGTCCTCCGGTTTTTCCCTCCACATTTAGAATCAACGTCACGCGTCTAGGGTATTTGGCTGCTCTTAATAAATGTCCACATGATAAGCCACTTCCATTGGGCAATCATTTGTGGTAGCCAGGTCGATTCTAGATTTAAAGCTTTCGTGACTGCAAGGATCCATACTCTTTGGTTCTATTGGGTAAAGTCACGTAGGTAAAAAAATAATAAAGTGTGTAGCCAGGTCGCTTCTGAAAAATAGCTACAAAGCTCAGTGGGCCTTACCTGGTAAAATGTCAAAATAAGTTTGGTTGCGTTTAGGGTGTGGGCCGGGCACACGTACCAGCAGGATGCTCTCCCAGGCCATCCAGCGGATGGGCAGCACGGCACGGCCCTGGATGCGGTAGTAGTCCCCACTGTACAGGTTTCGGCTCATGCCGAAGTCGGCGATCTTGATTGTGTGGTGCTCCCCGACCAGACAGTTGCGAGTGGCCAGGTCCCGGTGCACAAAATTGAGGGACGACAGGTAGGCCATGCCCGACACGATCTGGCTGGCCATGTACACCAGCTTGTCGAGCCTGTCGTGGTGGCGGCGGCAGCGTTGGCACGGGGGAGAGACGCAGCGAGAGACGGAGACCCCCACACATCTCCCGTGAGCGTTGCGGTCGGGAGAGGCGAGCGAGAGAGCTCTCGATGAGAATAAAAACATTACTGAGCGAAGCCGTGCAAACACTAGGGGGTCACATATCAATGCATGCATGCATGTATGTTGAACTTCTTTCGCACCGTACTTAGCCAACCGTGCTAATCGGGGTGGGGGAGGGGGGTAGAACAACAAACAAAACACAAAAAGCCATTCTAAAGAGATGAGTTTTCAATCAATATTTCAAAGTACGTAGCTCCAGTGGCTTCCTAATCTCGGAAGGAAGAGCGTTCCAGACGGCCGCAGAAGCGCATCTGAAATCGCGCGATGCGGTGACCACCGTCTTTGTTCGATGGTTATCCAAAATCCGCTGGGAGGATGACCGCTGCTCCTTGAGAGATCATCGAGGTATTGTGGTTCATTTGTGGCAAGAACTTTGTGTGTAATGAGCGCGAACTGATAATGTATTCGTTCAGCAACCGTAAAAACGACAGTTACGAGCAGTGAGCGCACTGTGCAATGACCCAACTGCTTTCGTTGGCTGTACGTCAAAATATTCCTTTGGAGGGACTGAAATGAGTTTTTGGTGGGGGGCAAAAAAAATAAAAATATCTCTTTAAAATATAATAAAAAATATTTGGAAGCACTTGAAAAATTATTTCGATAGACGTTTTTGTGCATTCAGACCTGAAAATGACAGAGGGCAACGTTTGGGTTGCCACTAGCGGAGCGGGCGGTGGAGTGACGCACCCAGTTTAGTTTCTTAGTACTTTATGTATTTGAATAAATTAAACCGTACGTGGTCACCGATTGCACCACTACCACTACGCGCTCTGCTGGAGGCGAGCTTTGAGCAACTTGAATAACGCAAGTTGCTCAATTAGTTTTGAGAGCGTCTGGTCCCGTGAGCCCTGTCGTTAAAGTCAAGTTGTCCCGTCTGTGTCAAGGCACGAGACAAAGAAATTGCCACTCGGAACTCTCACAGCGATCTGCTGCAAGACCCTGTGTCAAGGAACGGTGCCAGATGTTGACGTCGTGAAACTACTGCGCGTGGAACTACTGCGGCCGTCACCTGGCGTGCCACGGTGGCGAGATGTAAACTACCTCGCCTGGTATGCCGGAGGGTATGGGCTTGATCCCGACCCCTGCATATTTGGATTTTGCGTGTCATCTCTCTCCCCGTGGTCGCGTGGAATCTTCCTTGGGGTCCCGTGTGACCCCGCGCCGGCTGTGTGCCTGTGGGTGGGGGTGGGGGTGGGGGGGGGGGCAGCTCACCCGATGGCCGAGGGAAGCCGCGAGAGGAACTGGTTGAGATCACCGTTGACCATGTACTCGGTGATCATGGACAAGGGGTCGTCCCGCATGCACACGCCCAGCAGCCGCACGATGTTGGGGTCCTTGAGCCGAGACATGATCTTGATCTCCTTGAGAAAGTCGTTCCTGGACGAGCGAGCGAGCGGCGGCAGCGAGGCAGAGGAAGAGTGAGAGAAGCACGCGGTGAAGAGATGCGGGGCGCCATGATGACGATTTAGACTTGGAACGCGCCGCACAATAGTCGCTCTCTCTCTCGAAGAAGAGAATAACTCAAGAGGTCGCGAGGAGGAACCACAGACAGGCAGGAGGGCGGCCACGCAGCGAGCCGGCACCAACCATTACCCGAGCTCTGCGATCCTCTATATGTGAAGGTGTTTATCAGCCAATTAATGAGTGCTTACATGTGGGAGGAAACCAGAGGGCCCGGGGGAACCCCACGCTTGCGAGGTGGAGGGGGGGGGACACTCTATCCCGTACAGAATGGAACAGGTGGAGTTTGCATTTTTTCAGTCCTGAATTCTCCTGGCAAGCCAGGGTATATAACCTCAACGACTACGGGAAGGGAGTTTCACAACATCTGTGCGGTAATTCACCGAGCCTCGCTGCCTCCACAGTACTGGATTACAGGCCATGTGCGTAGCCACCACTGCCCCTGCACATGATACTGTACATCGGTGATGGCAGCCCAGACAGATGCCTCCTCCCTTAGTTTGTTTGAGCCAGGGATCTCTGCCCACCCTGGGATACCTGAGTTCGATTCCCAGTCCCGTAGCTGACATCAGCGGAGAGCAATATCTGAACTGAACCGAGATCGACACAGCCATGAGATTGGTACCAGCTCCAAAGTGTAATAAATATCAGCAACGGAGAGAGAGAAAAAAAAAATCGACCGCTCATAGTGCTGGACACACCTTCCCCTTGTGCACCGTGCCGGCCTTAATAGGTGCTCACGAACAGCATTTGCCCAAAAGTCTATAAAGGCTACACGGGTAGGGTGGGGGGGGGGGGGTTTGTAGATTTTGACACATTCGCAGGTAAATTTATACACATTCGTAGGTAAAGTGCATCTTTGTGCGCAGATCTGTCTGGCCTGGGAAGCGTTTTGCCGATTCCTCCATTTCCGTGTGTGTGCTTGCGCACGCGTGCGCGTGTGTCTGCGTGCGGACGTGCGCTTGCATCTGAGCCCCCCCCGCACCTCGCATTCTTAGTGGCGTCCGCACGCAGCATCTTGACGGCCACGAGCACGGGCGCGCCCTTGGGGACGTCGAAGGTGAAGTCCTCCCCCACAAACTCCTGTAGCCCCACAGCCTCGCAGAGGTGAACCTGCGCACCCACACACACACACACGGGGCCCCCCGTGTCAGGCCTTGCTTACTACTGGGGTGTGACACACACACACTACTGGTGTGTGACACACACACACGCGCGGTTATGGCCACCCCGCCCCGCCCCCCACACACACACGGGGGTATGGCCGGACCATACGCGCATGGTTATGGCCGTACCCGCCACACATTCGTGTGGGTACGGCCGGCCCAAAAGATAAAGACACACAGTATAGTATTAACAGTTTGTTAGGGCAAGGGCTGTTAGTGAGCACCTACAAAGGCCGGCACGGCATTCGCGGGGTGGGTGGCCAGCACCACGCCCGACTGCCTTTACCTCCCCAGTGGGAATGTTTACACACCACACCAAATACTCATTAGAGGCCGAGTCGACCTAGCGGAGGCCCAGGACCAGTTCGGATAACCGTCATTGGTGTTGGCCGTGAGCGGGAATCTAACTCGGGTGGCCTGGGTTCTTAGTGCAGCCGCAATAGGTGAGTGCCTATAGCCCAGCTGCTATGGGTGAGTGCCTATAGCCCAGCTGCTATGGGTGAGTGCCTATAGCCCAGTTGCTATGGGTGAGTGCCTATTGCCCAGCTGCTATGGGTAAGCACCCATAGCCCAGTTGCTATGGGCGAGTGCCTATAGCCCAGCTGCTATGGGTGAGTGCCTATAGCCCAGCCGCTATAGGTGAGTGCCTATAGCCCATCTGTTATGGGTGGCTGCCTATAGCCCAGTTGCTATAGGTGAGTGCCTATAGCCTCGCTGCTATCGGTGAGTACCTCTAGCCCAGCTGATATGGGTGAGTGTCCATCGCCCAGCTGCTATGGGTGAGTGCCTATAGCCCAGCTGCTATGGGTGAGTGCCTATAGCCCAGCTGCTATGGGTGAGTGCCTATAGCCCAGCTGCTATGGGCGAGTGCCTATAGCCCAGCTGCTATGGGTGAGTGCCTATTGCCCAGCTGCTATGGGTGAGTGCCTATAGCTCAGTTGCTACGGGTGAGTGCCTATAACCCAGCTACTATAGGTGAGTGCCTATAGCCCAGCTGCTATAGGTGAGTGCCTATAGCCCAGCTGCTATGGGTGAGTGCCTATAGCCCAGCCGCTATAGGTGAGTGCCTATAGCCCAGCTGCTATGTGTGAGTGCCTATAGCCCAGCTGCTATGTGTGAGTGCCTATAGCCCAGTTGCTATAGGTGAGTGCCTATTGCCCAGCTGCTATGGGTGAGTGCCTATAGCCCAGCTGCTACAGGTGAGTGCCTATAGCCCAGCTGCTACAGGTGAGTGCCTATAACCCAGCTGCAATAGGTGAGTGCCTATAGCTCAGCTGCTATGGGTGAGTGGCGACAGAAGTTGGGCTCGCGCGATTGAGGAGCAGTGAGCGGTGAGCGGTGAGCCAGCCAGCGCACCTCTCCGAACTGTCCCTCGCCGAGCTTCTCGCGGAAGGCGAGGAGCCCGCGCGGGAACTCGCCGGCGCTGACGTCACGCTGGCCCAGCACGTCGCTCGTGAGGCCCGGCACGGCGTACGTGTTGCTGCCCGTGACGCCCTGCAGGCTGACCACGTCGGCCTCGGCGTAGTGCGACACGCCGTCGTTGAAGCACTGGTGCGGCGTCGCCTTCGTGAGGTCGGGCTCAGCGTAATCGCCGCTGCACACTGCAAGGCGGACGTGCGAGCGCACGCAGGGGGCAGTTATTCGGGACCGCCGCCTCGTGCTCACCAAGTGCGTAGTTTTTTTTTTTTACCGAATTCGAAAACAGTGGCTCTTCTTGTTATTATTATTATTATTCCATTGGAAACCTCATTTGCCAGTATCATATTCTGTTACTTGCAAATGAGATTTCCAATGGTGTAAATGCTTACCCCGAGCTCTCATACTCTGATGGTGCATTGCCTTTGAGCTGTGCGCCTTTTGGCGTCTTCTGGTCCAACACCATGTGAGACGAGGCTCTAAAGAAAGCTGTCTCGAGTGTGGACCAATCAATTTCAAGGACAGTGCCAATACATTATCAGAGTTGTTGTTTTTTGTTTGCGTTCCGACTGCAGCTATTGTGGTCAATGTAAACATGACTCCTTGTAAAAAAGGTGTCAGTTTTGTTGCCAGGTAAAAGGGTAAAAAAACAATTATCATTATTATTATCACTTTGCTTGCCGATCCAATGTTTTGGCAATGTTTTTGAGCAACGGCCCTTCGTCATTGCTCGAAAGCTTGACCTTTTACATACATGTTTTATTTTAAGGTCACAATGTTACTTACGAATGTATTGAGGTTTATTTTTTTAATGTGCTTGTGCACCCCCTGCCAACGCACATGCAGCAGCTGCAGCTGCATCGCCGAAGAATTCGTTTTTATCCGTGGATGGATTTTTTTCCTTTCTTTCAATAACCCACATTTTCTCCGCCGGCACTAAGAGCGGATAAGTGGCGGCAAGTCGCCGCTACGATCCACGCTGCTGCGCCCGTGGGTAGCCGCGCGGAAAAATATCGGGAACTAACTCCCACACACGGCAGGAAACTGGAGGCTGACCAATAGCGGGGCCCCCCTCACTGCGACGGCGTCTCGCGGCGTCACGCTGGGCGTGCCGAGCGGACGGCGCGACGGGACGGCGCGGGGATCGGTTTACCGGCGTCCTCCGCGCTCTGCGTCAGCTCCGGGAGTTTGACCTTGCTGACCCCCGCCGTGGCCATGAGGCGGAGCGGCTCCTGCACTCGACACAGAGGGGAGACGGTAGTCGCAGCGGTTGGCACACCACGCTGCGTATCCGGCAAACCCGAATTCGATTCCCGCTCACGGCCAACACCAGTGCCAATTATCTGAACCGGTCCTGGGCATCCCCTAGGTCGACTCAGACTCAAATGAGTACCTGTTGCGGTGTGTAAACATGACCACAATAAAGACAAAGGCGGGCGGGTGTTGTGTTGGCCACCCATGCCTTCATAGGTGCTTGCTAACAGCACCATACGTAGCCAAACGGTGCTAATCGGGAGGTGTGGGGGAAGGACAAACAGACAAAAAACTAAGCAAACAAACGCCAAAAACAGCGGGCACCCGAGCCTCGTGATCGTGCGCGTGAACAAGCGAACGAACGCGCAAAACCCCGAGTGTGCAATGAAGGAGAGGTGCTGGGCTGAACAGGGCTCGCCGACGCTGCTGTCGTGAGACTAGCAAAAACAAGGACGCGTCCATGAGAACAACCGATGGGAAACGGGAGAGCCGGAATTAACGACGGAGTGGAGACCGAGAGAAGGGCACAGAAGCAGAGGGAGACGGCGGATGAGATGGCAACGGAGAGAGGCTTGGAGGCCAACGCTGGACAGGAGCAAGTGAAATAGAAAGGAGCTGTTAACTAAACTTTTTATTTTACCGGGTAAGGCCCGCTGAGCTATACAGGTCTTTTTCATAAAGCGGCAAGCACAACACCCAGCCAACCACTTTGTGTAAAGGCAACAAGAGGTCTTCCTGCAGATAAGCAGGACCCTATTTAACTATTTATATTTTTATATTCTTAGCTCTTTCGGTAAAGTCACGTTGAAGGGAAACAATAAAATAATAAAATATATATAAAACAATAAAAATTCTCACGACGTTTCGACCATAACACAAACGGTCGTCGTGATAATTTTAATTGTTTTATATATTTTATTATTTTATTGTTTCCCTTCAATGTGACTTTACCGAAAGAGCTAAGAATATGAATTACTGCAGTCACGAAAGCTTTAAGTCAAAATATTTATATTTTACCAGATAAGGCCCACTAGCTCTTTTTCAGAAGTGACCTCGCCACAAATGATAGCTCAACGAAGTGGCTTATCACGTGGAAATGTATAGCAGCAGTCTAAACACACGTTTCTAAATGTGGAGGGCAAAACCGGAGGACCCGGAGGAAAATCTACATGGCCACGAGGAGATAAACACGCAAAGTCCAAATATACAACAGGCGTCAGGGTCAGGATCGAACCCATGACCTCCTGCAAACCAGGCGAGGTAGTTAACATCTTGTCATCGTGGCACCCCTAGAACCAACGGGTGGAGTGGGGGGCAGCCCTGAACCCTCACCGCAAGAGGAACGACTTGGACCAGACCTCGCGCACAACAGCCACGCACCTGGTAGTCGGGATCTGCTGGGTAGATCCGCTCGTACATGGGGTTGGCGTGGAGAGTCCCCGTGACCTCTTGACCCCGTGACCCTGCGGCCTCTTGTCCCGATACGGCCACCCCGCTGTTGATGATGACCGTGTCCGACGGTAGGGATAGGCGCACGAGGAGGTCCTCCTCCACGATCCTCCGCGGGCCCTGCCACACGACAGCGCGGTCACGTGTCCGATGGGGGTCGCCACCTTTATACAAATCCGTCACGTGTCATGGGAAGAGGAATATCTCGCAAAACACCGGAAGAGGTGGGGACTGCATTCAAATACGTCGCCTAGTGTGGTGTATTATTAAAGCTGACAAAAAGTAGAATGGTAGATTTCCTGGAATGGCTAAAACAAAAAGAGGATGTCCTGGGAAAACCAGGAGAGGTGGCAACTGCAAGTGGCGATAACGCACACTGCGTATTTATTTATTTATTAACTGATTTCCTCCCGCCCACGCTGTGATTCGATTAATTGATACGGTTTGCAGTTGAGCACTGATTTCAAGAATTGACTTGTTCATCTTGCTTCCACTGCCTCATTTGTATATTTTTTTATCATACCTACTGTCTCGCTTGCACAGTACCTTAACTCTCCACAAACCTACGGTGATGACTGTATATCATGCAAATGTGATTTGTATTAAGTGTAAAGACTTTAATCGGGTGAGCGGTTGGTTGGGTAGAGTAGTGGAGGAGTGATTAACGTGCTGCGCTCCGAACCTGGTGACTCCTGGCTATGCCTAACATCAGTGTCGATGATCTAAACCGGTCTTGGGCATTTTCTTTAGGGCTACTCAGCCTTAAATGAGTACCCTGTACATAATATATAAAAAAAATCAGCACTGGGGAGACCAAAGCAGCTAGGAAATCGTAATGGCCACACATCTCCCTTCCCACTGACTCGTGTGCCGTGCTGGCCTTCGAAGGTGCTCCTCACTAACAGCACTTCTTATGTGCTACTTAGTAACAGCACTTCATAGGTGCTACTTGCTAGCAACACTTCATAGGTGCTACTCACCAACAGCACTTTATAGGTGCTACTCGCTAACAGCACTTCATAGGTGCTACTTGCTAACAGCACTTCATAGGTGCACTTGCAAGCAACACTTCATAGGTGCTACTCGCTAACAGCACTAAGTAGGTGCTACTCGCTAACAACACTTTATAGGTGCTACTTGCTAACAACACTTCATAGGTGCACTTGCAAGCAACACTTCATAGGTGCTACTCGCTAACAGCACTAAGTAGGTGCTACTTGCTAACAACACTTCATAGGTGCTACTTAGTAACAGCACTTGATAGGCGCAACTCGCTAACAGCACTTTATAGGTACTGCTCACTAACAGCACTTCATAGATGCTACTCACCAACAGCACTTTATAGATGCTACTCACCAACAGAACTTTATAGGTGCTACTTGCTAACAGCGCTTCATAGGTGCTACTCACCAACAGCACTTCATAGGTGCTACTCGCTAACAACACTTTATAGGTGCTACTTGCTAACAACACTTTATAGGTGCTACTTGCTAACAGCACTTCATAGGTGCTACTCGCTAACAGCACTTCATAGGTGCTACTTAGTAACAGCACTTTATCGATGCAGCTCGCTAACAGCACTTCATAGGTGCTACTCGCTAACAGCACTTCATAGGTGCTCCTTAGTAACAGCACTTTATCGATGCAGCTCGCTAACAGCATTTCATAGGTGCTACTCGCTAACAGCACTTAGTAGGTGCTACTCGCTAACAGCACTTCACTGGTACTTCTCGCTAACAGCACTTCACTGGTACTTCTCGCTAACAGCACTTTAGAAGCGTTTTGTCTTTAGTTTGTTGTCCTTCCCCCGCACCTCTGATAAGCACGGCTGGCTACATACAATGCGAACGAAGTTCAACACACTTACATACGTACGTGCACCAACAGCCTGCGTAGGCTACACGGGGGGTGGGGGGGTCTCTTGTCTTTGTGCTTGCGGCACACACCTTGCGTGTGCGCCGTCCCCAGCACTGTCTCCACAGGATGAGTGCGATGATGGCGACGAGGAGGAGGATAATCACGACGAGGCAGCTGATGAGCACGGTGTGACTGCCAGCCCCCGCGGTCTCCACCAGGCCTGCAGCCATAGTCACCGTCAGCCGGCATCGTCAGCATCGTCATCACGTTGTTATATTGATATTAGTGCCTTGGCGTTTTGTGACAGCTTCTATGGGTGCTTCAGATGTAGCTGCTCGAATGCACGTATGTACGTTGAACCTCTACGGACGTGAAATCCTCAACCACCAGTAATTCAAATGGGACATACGGCGTATATTGGGCTTCTTTCGCACCGTATGTAGCCAACCGTGCCAATCGGAGGTGCGGGGGAAGGACAACAAAGAGAATACCTTCTGTAGTCCAACAAAGCCAGCCAGAGGAGAATTTTACATATTATTTTTTATTCATAATAAAGGTTTTTAGGTTAGATGCGATCTAACCCAAAAACCTTTATTATGAATAATATTGGTCGCGAAAGCCTACGTGTTAAACATATTATTTTTACTTGTGATGTTGTGATGTAGCGATGATTGCCTTCACCTGGTCACCACTGCCATGGCCCCAAGTACTTTGCTCATATCATCATGTAACTCTTCTCGTGATGATCATCATCAGCAGCAGCATCACATGACCACCATTATAACCCTCAAATAACAATGATCATAATTACCATTCCCATCATGATCGATATCACAACCATTATCATTCATCAACACAGTCACCAACAGCATAATAAGAATTATTGTCCAAGGAACTTGAAACACAGTGAGTGATGTAGTGACAACCGGAGCACCTGGAGAAAATCCATGCGTGCGAAGAGGAACAACATTCTATCCCAGTGTTCTCGTTCAAAGGCCCGTGGGCCACTGGCGGCCCCTGGTGGCCTTTAGTGCGGCCCCTGACGTGCGTCCCCCGACCAAAACAGAACAACAGCACGTGAAAACGACCCCTTGCAGGCGTTGCGGTGGCCCTCACACTGATGTCTTATCGGTGAAAGTGCCCCCCCCCCCCCACCCCCACCTCTGAAATTAGTGAAGAACACTGCTCTATCCCATTCAGACATGGGTTTGATGGGTTCGTGCAATTATCCATCAACCCTCGCTGCTGCTGCTGCTGCCTCCACAACAGCGCCGGGTTTGCAGCAGCCGCGTGCAGCATCGCCACCGCCGCCCGGGCGGCTGATAGACTCCCCCTTGCGTAAAGGGAGCGGCGGTTCCGTGCCATCGCTGTGTGCGCGCGTGGCTGGGTGCGTACCCGTGCTGGGAGTGAGCTGGGTGTAGGGGGGCGTCGAGACGTTCGTCGTTTCCCACCGGCGGGGCGTGGTGATGGCCGGCACCGTCGTGTTGTAAACCGCCGTGCCTGATGCGCACAAAGACAAAGATCCCCCGTGTAGCCGACTACAGACCGTCGGGGGCAGGTGCTGTTCGCAAGCGGCTGTGAAGGCCGGCACGGGTCACACGAGCGTTGATGTACTCGTCTAAGTCGACCTGGTGGAGGCCCGGATATTTGTGAGCTGGAATCAAACTCAGGTTGCCAGGCTCGTCGTGCTGCACGTTAACGACTGTATGCGCAATAACAAGACACACTCTCTCTCTCACATACCCACGTGCTCACTCTCAATCGATTCCACTTCAGTTTAGCTCTCTGCAGTGATGCGGAGGTGCGTGTGTCGAAATAGAATTCCAACAGTTAAAGGCCACATCAAGGTCAAGAGGTCACCACAGCCAGTACCAAAGCTGGCTATTGCTTCCGTCCTTCTGATTGACCTCTCAGCTGCGACAGAATCAACACGTGACCTCTGTTGCAGTATCTCGCCCATCCCGGCTTTATCCATTCCCCTCTCGGTCTTGAACTCTGGTTCCCAACTAAACAATCGTCGATCGGCGTCTCATCACGGTGGCACTTTCCGAAGCAACCTTTCAACGTCTTGAATGTTCAGGAACGCAAAAACAATTGAGCAGAGTAACGCTGGTACGTTTGGGACACAGCCTCCGAGCCTCGAGCACATGTGCGACTCCTGCTTGGCCGCTCCGATTCACTCGGGGGCCAACGTCCACGCGTCGTTAAAGCAGGCGCTGACACATTCGGCAACGGTTGAGGGTTGTACCGGTGGGAGAGGCAAGCAACCACTGCCTCCCATGTGCCCTGTGTCTTGGCTGCAAAGTGGCCATGACCGCAAATTTGGCAGCAGCTCATCAGTTTCCGCCGCGCAGAGTTCTCCGAGCTCGGTTACTGAACTCGGCTGTCTGCGATGGAGAAGGGCAAGGAGCAGGCAAAGGCATTCCTCTCCGACGTGCTCCCCTGGATCGTACCGCGCGTCCCTCGGCACAGCGTCCGACGCTTGGCTCTATGAGCTGGGTAGCGTCACCAGGAACTGATGAATCCCAGCACGGAAAAGAAAAAGAACGCCGAACCACTCGCGAAACGGCCGCGTTAAAGGCGGCCAGCGAGTCCGCCGCCCGCCCGTTCAAATCCCCTCCCCATCAAGCTCGCCACCTCCGCGCCGCACGCACCGGACTGAAAGGAGATCTCGCTGATGAGGAGCCACGTGTCGGCAAAGTAGAACTGGCAGCGGATGTGGCGGGCGGGCCGGTGGCCCAGCGGCACGGTGACGAAGCGGGCGCTCGGGTTGACGTGGTCCGTCACCGTGGTGACGCTCACGTGGCCGGGCTCCCAGAGTGCGCCGGGGCGCCGGGCGAACGTGCAGGAGATGCGCGAGAAGATCTTGACGCCGTGGGAAAACATGTTGTTGCAGTGGATCTGCGCGTAAGGCCGGCGGCGGGGAGAGACGTCGATCGTTAGCTCGGTGGGGTGGGTGCAGCAATCGGTCGGTATGTGTACGTACGTATGTTGAACTTCTTTCGCACCGTACGTAGGAATCTAAGCGTCGCGAAATCAGACAGTCCGTGAAATGTTCTACAAATGACTAATATAATAAATAGGCCCAGACAATGTCTCTTTAACACCTCCGACTCTCCACGTAGAGAAAAAAACAACAGAAAGTATTTGTTACGCAATTCGCCAGTCGCATGGCATTCTGGGAGTGCGTAATTCCAGCAGCGTTGATTCAAGACAAGCAAAACCCTGGACCGCTTTTGACTCACAGAGACTCGTCGGCAGAGTCAGGCTTCCTTGACTCAATGCTGGTGGACTTCCGACCTTATAGGCAATACCGCTAATGAATATTTAAAGTAAATAATAAGCAAGACTCAGTTTTAATTACCAGCGGGCAGCAGAAAATTGTCTTCTAAACTTGGCCCCACTTGAGTTTGCTCGGCCTAAAAAAATTTCCCGGGTGAAGAAGACAAATGTGGCCCGGAAAAACAGGGGCTCGCTAACGGCACTTGAGCCAACGGTTTACGTTGTCCGAATGGGGGACGCTCAGCTGTTCAGACGCTCACCCAGAGGGGCGGCTGTTACGGTGGCTTTGAGTCGCTGCCCTTAAGACGGGGAGATCGACGAATGATCTACGGTCGCCACGGTTGACGAAGGCATTAGTCGTGATTTGTCGCCGAACAGAGGGGGCCACTCGAAGGATGTAAACTTCTAAACTTCTAGCTGTTGCTCCCCATCAACCAACGTTGATCCACATGCTAAAGAGGTTGCGTACCTTCATGGCGGTGAAGTTGCGCACGCTGTCGAAGAAGAAGTCCATCTCCACGTAGTCCTCTGCGAGCGAGTCATTGCTCCAGCCCACGTAGTCATAGCCCGGCCACACCTGCGGTGAAATCAAGCTTGGTAATCCCCGGACGCACGATTTCCCCCAGCATTTTAGAGGAAAGAACGTGTGGTCGCGTCGTAGAATCTGACGCGTGTGCATGCGTGTGCGTGGGGAGCGGGAGTGTAGCGGTAGTGTAGCGGTAGTGTAGCGGTAGTGTAGCGGTAGTGTAGCGGTAGTGTAGCGGTAGTGTAGCGGTAGTGTAGCGGTAGTGTAGCGGTAGTGTAGCGGTAGTGTGTGTTACGAACCCAGCGACCCGAGTTCGATTCCTCCGCACGGCTACAAACATCGGTGGTGCATATTTAAATCAGTCCTTAGCCTCCGCTAGGTCGACTCAGCTTTAATTGAGTACCTGTTGTGGTGTGCAAACATCACCAATGGGGAGAAAAGGGTCGGCCGAGCCTGGTGCTGGCCGCCCACTGCGTACTGAGCCGTGTTGGCCTTCACAGGTGTTCACTAACAGCACCTGCCCCAACAGCCTATGTAGGCTACCTGCGGGGCGGGGGGGGGGTCTTTGTCTTTGCCCTTTTTGTGACCATATTTGCACACGTTGGGGGGGTGCGTCTTACTTTCCGGAGCATCTTATAGTGGGGGAAAACATGGTAGAACTCCTCTCCACTGGTCGACATTCACCTTCGCGTTGTGAGAACAAAAAACTTCCATGACCAAATCACCGTAGCGTTATCTCCCGAGTCGAGTAAGAAACAGCGCCCAAGGAAGTGTAGGGCAGTGTTGTGCGTCAGTCGAACGTCTCTCAACACCGCGTGTAGCCAACCGTGCAATTGGCAAGGTGACATTTGCAACATTATATGTTTATATGTTGAGCCCCTTTAAGCAGGGTATTGTGGGTATTGAGGGTCATATTGGCCAACTCTTCGACGCTGAGCCAGACGTCTCGAGTTACCCACACCACACGTGACCTGTCGACCGACTCGCCGCGGCGTCCCATTTACACTGCTGGATGGACAGAAGCGGTGATTTTAAAACAATTACCACGGCCGGGGGGAGATCACCGGGGTGCTGACCAAACACACCGCTTGTGGCAGCATCCCTGCCGAAACCTCCCCGCCCCTGATGCGGCACACTTACCTGGTACTCGTGGGACATGGCGAAATCGTCCAGACCCCACACACCGTCCGTCAGCTGCCCCAGGCCGTCGTACACCGCTCTGTGCATGTAGGCGCGCACACACACACACGCGCACAGAAAAAGGTCCCCCCCCGAGTCTTTGTCTCACGGACGAGTTTGGCAAAGCGCTGTTGGCGAGCTCACCTGTCAAGGCCAACATGGCCCCATTGTTGACGTGTGTGTGTGTGTGTCTGTTCACTTTTGGGGCGCGGTAGTGTAGCGGTTGGAATGCTGCGCTACGAACCCGGTGACACGAGTTTCGATTCCTGCTCACGGCCATCACCTGTGACGATTAATAATTATCTGAACCGGTCCTGGGCCTCCCCTAGATAGACTTAGCATCAAATGAGTAGCTGGTGTGATGTGTAAGCATCGTCACTCGGGAGACAAAGGCGGCCGGGCGTGGTGTTGGCCACCCACACCCTCGTGTGCCGTGCCGGCCTTCATAGGTGCTCGCTAACAGCACTTGCCTCTACAGTCTGTTCAGGCTACACGGGAGATCTTTGTATTATTGCGAGCAAGGAGCAACGCTCACAACAACGAGCGAGGCGCCGGGCGGCTAAAATACAAGAAGTTGGCACAGTCATCTCAGGATGCGCATGAAATATAGCCTAATGGCTCAATGGGCCCTTCCTGCTGTAAAGGGCCCAATCTAAAACCCGTCAACCCATGGCACCCTGGGTCTGTCCCGTGACGTCCTGTCTTCAACACATCACGTAGCCTCGGTGCGCACCTAGCCTGGCACAAGTGCCGCGGTGATATCACCGCTGCCAGGTGGCGAACGGCGGTTGTTGCGTTTGTTGTTGTAGCGAATGAGTGAGCGAGCGGGCGAGCGTCTCACATGTTATCCGAGCTCCCGTCGTACGTCGAGTCATTGAGCGCGATGGCACGAAGGTCGTTGGGCAACATGGAGTGTCCCACCGGTGCTCGATACGCGACGAGGCCGTCTGTGGTGGGGGGGGGGGGGGTGGGGGGGACGGCACAGAGACACGGAATAGCACACAGGGGTTCATTCAGAAGCCACTGAAGCGACGCACTTTTGAATCATCTTGATTGAAAACTCATTTGTTTAGAACTGCTCTTTGCGTTTAGTTTCTTATCCTCCCCTCCCCCCCGCACCTCCGATTAGCACGTACGTACATACACAAGGACAGAGCAACGCGCGCACGCAACACAGTGGGACAGAAGTACCCATCCAGCCTCGGTGGACGAAAGAGTGCATCTACTACGGGTGGAACGGCACACGAAGGAGTGCCGTGTGGCCCACAACCTGCTCTGCCACCCCATTACAGATGTTCGCGCGCTGCGCTTGGGAACTGCTTTTAGGCCGAGAGGTTTCGAGCACCGCGTGCAGCTGATGTGCATCAATGGTCGGGCTTTGAAAAACTTGGACCAAGGCTGCTTGAGAAGATGACCATTACATCAACATCATACAATAACACATTAACACGCTGCGGTCTGGCAGTCGGGCGGACCGATTCACAGTTGCAGACCACACACTGCAATGTACGTCATTGAGGCCTAACGCACTGAGCCTCCCGCATTGTAAAATGTCACCCACGCCATTACGCGTGGTCTGGCTGCCCCCCCCCCCCCCCCTTGTCCCACAATGTTAGCCTGGTGTACACATTGTTGTGTCCTAATCGCAGCGTTTCGATTCCCCGGGCCCTTGTTAAAAAATGGCAGCCGCCGCCCACATTCTGCCTCTCGAAGGTGGGAAACCCCCCAACCCCCCCCACCTCCACAAGCGTTGTTCTGTGATTGGTTGAGATAGCCTGGTTCTCGGTAGAATGCAGTGTTAACGTTGGAGGTGAGTGAGTATTTAACAATGTGGACGCTACCGCAGCTAAGAGCTACGTATACATGGGGGGGGGGGGGGGGGGGGGGGGAAGGGGTGGCAATGGGAATATTGGTCCCCTATTGTGGGTGGTAATGAAGGGGGCTCTGTATTGGTTCAGATTCGGGCTGCAACGATCCATTAATATCAATTGCTGCGATCATGATACTCGCGTGGAATCATGCCCGCGACAATCACCTAACCATCTAGATCAGCTCAAGCCTCCCGTAAACCACGTGACTTCTGCGGTGGCCACCCCCACTCTGAATCCCTCCCCTTTCCCCACCCGACCCCTGTTGCTCCTCCGTGCAGCTCACTTCTGCTGCTTCCGTCTCTCTCCATCTCATCATCATCACCCTCCGCTCATCCTTGGCATCTTGTCCCAGTCGTTCCTTCTCCCCACTCCTCCTCCCTGTCCTGCCCAGCGTTTCTTCTCTCTCCCTGCTGCTCATCTTGAGCCGTTGCCCTCTTTGTCTCTCTTGGAGACTTCCGTCCCAGCATCCCACCACCAACTCCCCCCCTCAATCTGCCCCGTCGTGCAACCGACCCGACTCCCCTCCCATGGCACGCCACGGGCAAAATGTTATCGAACGTGCACGTGTGTGTGTGTGTGTGTGCGGGGGGTACAAACGGTGCTCACTAACAGCACTTGCCCCAACAGTTTGGTAAAACAAAAAAACAACACCACACGGGGGGAATCTTTGTCTTTGTGTGTGGGGCAATGCTGACCCAGCCACTGGCAGCCGTACAGCTCGACGCGCATGCACACGCTCATGAGGCGGTCGGCCACGGGCACGAAGCGGATGATGCGCGCGATGATTGGCGGGCTCAGGTCCTTGAGCACCAGCTCATAGGTGTTCACGTTTCCCTCGATCACCTGCACACACATACACACACACACACAAAGATCCCCCCCACCGACTCGCCTTCAACAGACTGCTGGGGAAAGCGCTGTTAACGGGCGCGTGTTAATGCCCAGCACGAAACACGATGAGGTTTGCGCGGCCAGCACAACACCCAGCCAACCGCTTTGTGTAAAGGCAACAAGAGGTCTTCCTACAGATAAGCATGACCCTATTTAACTATTTTTTTATGTTACCAGATAAGGCCCACTGAGCTACGTAGCTCTTTTTCAGAAGTGACCTGGCCACAAATGATAGCTCAACGAAGTGGCTTATCACGTGGACATATTTATAGCAGCCTCATATTATAAAAAGCACATTTGTAAAAGTGGAGGGAAAAACCGGAGGGCCCGGAGAAAAAACGCACACGACCACATTGGAGAGAAAGAGACGCGGCAAAGTCCAAATGTACAGCAGCAGGCGTCAAGGTCGGGATCGAACCCACGACCTCCTGTATACCAGGCGAGGGAGTTAACATCTCCTAGCCACCGTGATGATGATGAGAGAGAGAGACACGCAAACTCCAAATATACAGCAGGCGTCGTCAGGGTCGGGATCGAACCCACGACCTCCTGTATACCAGGCGAGGTAGTTAACATCTCCTAGCTACCGTGATGATGAGAGAGAGAGAGACACGCAAACTCCAAATATACAGCAGCAGCAGCAGCAGGCGTCAGGGTCGGGATCGAACCCACGACCTCCTGCATATCAGGCGAGGGAGTTAACATCTCCTAGCCACCGTGATGATGATGAGAGAGAGAGACACGCAAACTCCAAATATACAGCAGGCGTCGTCAGGGTCGGGATCGAACCCACGACCTCCTGTACACCAGGCGAGGTAGTTAACATCTCATAGCCACCGTGATGATGATGATGAGAGAGAGAGAGACACGCAGACTCCAAATATACAGCAGCAAGCAGCAGGCGTCAGGGTCGAGATCGAACCCACGACCTCCTGCGTACCAGGCGAGGGAGTTAACATCTCATAGCCACCCGCTACGACCCTTCTCCGGCGTGTGCGCAGGTCTGGCAACGCGTCCTGGCAACGCACAATGTGCCCGGGGAGGGGCTCCGCGCTGGGGGGCCGCCAGCTCCCGCAGCCCCCCGCTCCCTGTGGGGACGTGCGCCTCCACGGCCCCGGCTCCCTGCCACGGTGAGTCTCGCGTGGGCGCTGCTTTGGGGGGCACGGGCGGTGCTACTGGCTTCGCTCGTCGGCCTCACGAGCAAGGTATCCATGGGTTTGGGATCCCAGAGTTTGCGTGTTCTCTTTCCCACTGTTCTGCAATGGGTTTCCTCCGGGTTCTCCAGTTTCCTCACGTTAAAAAAAAAAGGTTAAATGTAACTGGTGGTGGCCAACCGTCCCCAATGATAACGAGAATTACTCGTAAATAATTTGCATTGGGGTTACATCGGGCAACATCGCCCTCAACTGTAAAAAAAATCAATTGGCAGGACCCTCGGTGAAAAGAGGTTTGAGACTCGGAATTTCCTGGGTAACTCAAGCTTACATTAAACAAATAGATCAAATGGTTTGCCAGACTCGGACTTGGGACTTACTGCGAGCGGAGTGCGGAGGAGGGGGCAGTGTTTTGAGCTGAATGGGCTACAGCTGGCTGGGGAGTTGGGCAGGGGGAGTGTGATTGGAGCCGTGAGCAGTAGTATTCGGCAGGGCGGCCACTGATCAAGCCAGCGTTGGTGTGGCGCTCATTTCCACTGATGGCTCTGGCCATGGCCGAGGTGCGTTTTCACTCGCCCATGATTTTTGTCATGAAATAATTTGTACATATATTAAAAAGAAGATATTACCCAATATCCACAATGCAGAACCCACCTGATTATAATGAGTCTTGAGACTTCCCCGAGCTAATAATGCAATGATTTTATGAAATCCCTGAACTGCGTGGCTTGAGGGGCTGATACCATGTCCGAGTTTACCAAGTTGCCACCCCTGGGTTTTAATCCAGGTTCTAGCCATCCCTGATTAAATTGGGCTCTCAAGCCTCGCGAGCCGGTGGTCTCAGCCCAGTGTCCAATTGGCTGCAGGCGAAAGAGAGACATCAGATTAAATTCGTTTCCGCACTTTGGCTAAATCCAGCTGTGAGAGTTAAACATCTTGGTTTGACTGTCGTGCCATGGACATTACTCCCTGTGGCAGAGTGGATATGACGTCACTTGCTTGGGGATTTTCAAGGGTTGCTCTGCAGCATCCACTTCTGCGGGCCGTTCTCGAAAATAAAATGGCTGCACTGCTCCGCGGTGGGAGTGCGCGGAAAGTTCCTGTCCACGAAAGTACGCACACGGTCACCTGAAGGGGATCTCAGAAGTAGGTCTATATCTGCTTCTGTTGCGCCATTCTCTAAAGCGGCGGCTTTTACTGCTCCGCAGGAGTTCGGAATGGATGATTTTATTCACCTCGTGACACAACACCGACAACACAATTGGGTATTCATATTCGTGGTTCTTTCGGTAAAGTCGCCACCACGTAGAAGGGAAACAATAAAGTAATAGAAATATAAAACAATAAAATTCTCACGACGTTTCGACTGCAACACAAGCAATATATCATCAGATGATGGTTGCTTGTGTTGCAGTCGAAACGTCGTGAGAATTTTATTGTTTTATATTTTTATTATTTTATTGTTTCACTTCTACGTGGTGACTTTACCAAAAGAACCAAGAATATGAATCCCTGCAGTCACGGAAGCTTTAAATCAAAATGTAATTGTGATAAACTTGTGGAGAAACACAAAAAGCTTGAGACAAAAACGAGGCTGTAAAGGGTTAGGCCATTGTGACTAGGTTAAGAATGATTCACATCCCCCATGAAGATTCGATGGATTGCCACGATTCTGCATCGTGATTTGATTCAACAACGAATCTTTTTTTTATATCACTGCAATGATTGAATCATAGCAGTGCGCTAACCGCTACACTGCTTCTACACACACACACACACAGACATATATACACAACGTTGTCTGTTTTAAGACCGGGGACAATGACACATGCGGCGAGATAATTTTCCGTTTGAACGGACTGCATTCGCAGAATGCTGTCCCGTACACGTGGCATTGGAAAACAGAACACCACGGAGATTGCGGGTTCCGGTCCAGATTTCCGTCACCTTCGATGAAAGTCTACGAATCCACGGTTGCGAAGCCCTGCGCGAGAGTTTGACGTTGCCGGCCCGGCCGCCATCGGCCTGCATGACGAATGCATAATAAATCCTATTTGGTTTGTCACTCGACACGGCCGTGGCTTTATTCCAGCCCTGAGGATTGAAATGTCAGATCAACTGCAGTAGTGCGACAGCTCGCTGCGCGCACTTCGCGATGCCCTTGAGAAGGGCACTGCACCCATTAGCGCCATTTTGGCTACGTGCGGTGCGAAGGAAGCTCAACGTACGCGTACAGACATTGCTCATGGCAGCAACAGCGGTCCTGCGGATGCCCGCAGCATTGACCAATGAACGGTCCCGGGGGCGTTTGAAAGTTGAGCCGTCTTCGTGTCTATAAAGAAGCTATTGGGGGGCCTTAAGAGGTCTTTCCGTCGACAGCATTTCTGCGGTAAATGTCTAAACAGGAGGCAACATTGCATTACTCACTGCAAACCTACAGAGCAAGCGACAAGCGACAGGGTATGTGGGTTTTTTTTTTTAAGAAGGATGTTCCAAATGGCATGGACAGACAAGGGACGAGTTAAAATAAATGTATTGTGGACAGCAGCAGGTACAGAAGGAAATTTTAGAGAAAGGCAGGGTTAGATTTTGGACATTTAATGAGGGGCTTTATAACCCTGGTTTCATACATTTCTTGGACATGTAATCACACCTCTGATTAGCACGGGTTGGCTACGTACAGTGTGAAAGAAGTTCAACATGCATACGAGAAAACAACAGACTGAATATGAATGTGGTTTTGTCTGAGCAAATTATAGGTCCAACAAGAAGCTGGGGAAGGCGGTGAATTAAGTTCAACGAGCAATTTGAACCATTTGTAAGCAGAGTTCAATGAGTAAATATCATGGACAGAGCTACGGAAACGGTGTGTTTTTATTGATGAAACCCGACTTAAGAGCTTCTTAGCTCACAGGGTACTTCAAAATAAACTGAAACTGAACTGAAACGACATGGGGGGAAGACGATGATCGCCGATGTCTTTGAGAAGGTACACGGCGCACACGCAGAGAGAGCGAGAGATCTGCAGATGATTCCCCTTCAGATCGCAACAACAACCGCGCACGATATAAACACAATCTAGAAGAAAACAACGTGAATGGAATTGGAACAATTGTGCCATTGCAGCAGGAACCCTCCCTGCGCAGGGGCCTAGAGGAGGCTTTCCTCGATGTTGAATCGTGTTGATGTTGAAAGGCATGTTGAATCATGTGTTTGAGCACTGGTCATTGCAGATTTCTGCAAGTGATATGATTATTTGCATTTTACCTAATGGCGTGAACGAAACTGTACAAATGAGCCAAAAACAAACATAAACAATACAAACGGGACGATGAAAACGAGACGAAAAAAATCCATAATCAGTCCTTAGATGAATTCATGACTCCCCCCGAATCACGATAATTAAATTAATCACTAAAGGCGGTGGTGAATCGTTGATTTGTCTCATTATCACGAAGATGATGATGACGGTAATGGTTGTTACACACCTCCTCGCCGCGCCGGTCATGCCACATGACCCAGCGAGAGCCGTCTCGCGAGTACTCGAGCCGGTAAGCGGTTGCGTACTCATTCCCCGTGCCTTCCGCGTGCCGACCTGGAGCAAACACACACACGCACAAGGACAAAGATCCCCCGTGTAGCCTTGACAGACTGTTGCGGCAAGTGCTGTTAGCGAGCACCTATGAAGGCCGGCTAGTCTGCCAGGAGGGGGGCAATGATTTCTATGCGTAATCCCAAATGAGTAATGAAGACACAGACACAGATCCCATATATAGCCTTAACACTGTTGGGGTAATTGCTGTTAGGGAGCACCTATGAAGGCCAGACGGTACACGAGGGGGTGGTGGCCAGCACCACGCCCAACCGCCTTTGTCTCCCCAGTGGCGATGTTTACACACTGCACCGGGTACTCATTTGAGGCTGAGTCGACATAGGGGAGGCTCAGGATCGGTTCAGATAATCCAACGCAGGTCACCGGGATAGTAGCGCAGCGCACCAACCACTACACTACCACTCCCCACTCACACACACATGCATATACACAAACGCACACGAGCATCCACGCAGGCACGCATAAACATGTGCATACACACAAGCACACACACATGCACCACAGTTGTAAAAAAAATCCACATTCATATAGGAGTGACAAGTTCATCTTAAAATACCACAAGAATGACTCAATGTTACAATGTAAATAAGAGAGTTTGGCTACCTTCCTGAGTCTGAAGACACATTTATTTTCAAGAGGGTCCTGCTAAATTCATGGATAACTTTTTTTTTGTATCATCGGTCAGGATACCAGAATCCCCGGCATTAACGCACCCCCCTCCCCAATACGAGGTAACAGCACTCAACGTGCACGCAGATGGCTTGTCGCCAGACCTACTTCCTGCACTGCCTCCTGCGGGTACAGTCGTTGCTGAACTTCCCATGGAGCCATGCAGCAAGTAGTCAGCGGCCCTTACGGTGGCTTTGCCATGTTATGGCACTCTGGAGGGTAGCATTGTTGGTTGTTGTTGTTATTGTCGTCATCATTCGATTGTGTCAAATTTTAACCCCCTAGGACGAGGGATCAACAACCTCGCGTGATAATCTGAGCAGTGCCCTGCCAAGCTGGAAATCTGTCGAGAGTTAATAAACAGCAACAGGCTATGGGCATTGTGCAATTGTGTTCAGGTGGCCTATTTAAGAAGAATGCTGCTCCCTGCAATGCCTATGTCATATAAGGCTGTTGTTAAGCCTCATTCATATAAGGCTGTCAAATTCCTCAACAGGTTTATAGTTCCGTCCAAAATCTCGCCATCTACGGGTGAACTTTTTTTATTCGCCTAATTAGGGATCCATCTTCATTTGGGCAAGAATCAGCACGCAGCATTCTGGGGGGGGGGGGTGGGGGGTGGGGGGGGGTGGGGGGGGGGCGGGGGGGGGTGGGGGGGGGCGTTACTCTTTTCAATCCCGCGAGCAGCTCGGCCTCGCGACACGAGCAAGGACACTGCTGAGCTCAGGATCAGAATTTTTATTTATACCGGGGGAATCCGATGAGCTATGAAGCTCTTTTCACAGATAATGAAACTTTGTTTTAATATACATTGCACTATTCATGCTAATACCATCCCATAATGCTGTACATTCATTATATGTAAGGACCAATTGCCATGTACAGCCACCACTACCAAGCAAATGAAAACCCCTACTACCAAGCAAAATAAAAAAAAATGAATAAACAAATAAAAATGGCACCAAAACAAAAAGGACAAATAACCAAGAAGTGATCACAACAGAGAGATGATTCCACGAGGTCTACAAACCCCAGACCACAATCCCAAATTCCCTACCAAGCCAGGAAACCTGTACGGGAGTGGCGGTGGTGGAGTGCCAGATGTCCAGTTCGAGCTACAGAAGCCGGACAAGATCCGTTTCCCCTGGTGGTCCACATTCAGCGGGGTAACAACTGCTCACGTCACCGCACACCCTTGACCTCGCACTCGCATTTAGTCTTTGTTGCCCGCAAGTAGCGGTTTCTGTTGAAAGCCTTCCCCTCGCAAGAAGGGCCACTGACCAAAGCGGTTGAATTTTTATTCCATTCCATCTCGGAAACAAAGCCCGCCGCCAGTTCTCTCAGCCATTAAGTTTCGCCCGTAATTTCTGGGCGCCCCGTGGCATCGGGCTTACGAGGCAATATCCTCCCGATGCCAAATACTCTGGGGGAATTTCTAAACTTTGGCCCGATTTCAAATTCATCGAGTCTCACCAGCAGGCGACTGCTTTATAAACACCAATGCCACCGGGTGCCCTGGATGCTAGGGGGGCAAAATACACTGGCTAAAAGAACTTATAAAAGAGCTTTCACCTCGTAGGCCAAAACTAATTCACTTTTAAATCCGTCGGTCAGTGATCCTTCCTCCGGCGAGCGAGCGAGTGAACAGACGCGAGGTTTTTATTTCTGTTTTGCGACAATCCGAGCGACGCCGATTCGGGGGGGCCCCCAGTCACCTTGCGTGCCGACGAGCGTGATGAAGTGCAGCTCGCGCAGGTCGACCTGCAAGAACTCCATGCTCTGGGGGCTGATGGAACCCAGAGGGCACCAGGCCCCGTCGCCCTCCTCCGAGTCGAGCCTAGGTCACGGTCGGCATCCAAAACAAATAACGGCCCGTTAATTTACCCAGGGAAGCCTCGCGGGGGAGTACTAAGACTCTTTGTTTTGTTTCTTGTTGTTGCTGTTGTTTAAATTCGTACAGTGTTCATAATAAAAGGTTTGTTGCCCGCAAGTAGATCTAACCCAAAAAACCTTTATGATGAATAATATTGGTCACGAAAAGCCTACGTGTCGTAAAGTGTTTGTTTACTGCCGTCAGCTCAAATGTAATACGAACGCATTGTTGGCATACATTTGCACACATTTTCGAATCATCATTTCTCATGCACACGATTCAGTGCATGTATCACGAGTGTAAGAATCAGTTGTAATTAATTAATCGATGCATTATTTAAAAAAAAACCTTATAGTATTTATTCAGATCAGCCCTCGCTGAGACTCAAACACTCATTTTCAGGGCAGTTATGAATTGGGGGTGTCTGACCAATTCAATTCGTGAGTCGTTGGCAAGATGAAATCGGGAGTATCCGGAGAAACCCACGCGTGCGTGGCAATTACGCTCAAAGCGCCGCACAGATAGATTCAGTCTACAGACGGACCCAATTAATTTTAATAATCTTTTTACTTTCATCCATTGTTGTACCGCCATCTCCTGGCCACCTTGCCGACCCAACCATATAATGCCTAGAATGCACTGGTAAGCACCTATCCAAAGGTTTAACTAGGATCAACTCAGCTTAGCTTCTGAGATCTGATGAGACTGAATGCGTTCCGAATGATTTGTTGTTCTTCCCCCTACTGCGCACCTCTGATTAGCACAGTTGGCTGCATACGGTGCAAAAGAAGTGCAACATACATATGTACATGTCGTCATTGGCCAATCGAAATGTCAATCAAGGTCGGAGGTCAGTTTGGTCAATCAACATCACCATCATCATCATCCCTTAGGGATTGATCGAGTATCACTTAGTGCCAGGTTTGGATATAGACTGGCGCCTGCCGTAGGGATCTGGAATTTAAAACCTACAATCTCAGGGCAGCCAATGGAGATGGGCGATGCCCCATCGCTAAATTGGACAGTCTCCCGGCACGGCCAGAACCGTTGCACGGCCGAGTCCTGGCTTGTTTGGACACTCGAGTTGGCACAGGCTGTGCTCCCCATCTGTTTCTTTTCCCACAGCGGCCGAGTCCAAGAAAATGGCTGGGGGTTGGCCGAGGCGGGGGGGGAGGGGTTAGGGGGATACAAGCACAGAAAACAAAGCCCCCTTCCCTAAATCTCAGCGGATTTATAAAAAAAAAGCAATAAAGACGAAGGGGAGGGAGGGGGATAGGAATCTCACTCGTTTTGCCTGGCAAGACGATTGCCAAGGCAGATAAAGTGAATATTCCACACAAATGTGGGCAGCTGTGCCGACTCCAGAGTGGCCACAGTCTGGCAGCAAGTATCCACGCGTCTCCTCAATGAGGACGATGATGTTGACGATGGTGTTTGTGATGGCGGAAACGGCGGCGGTGATACTGCAATACCATTTGTGATTATATTTATGTCCCCCCCCCCGCCCCCAATGTTGTTCTAATTGTGCAATTGAGGTCATTTGATCCAATAAATCACTTTCTAGTTGGCAATGTCACGTCACATCACGTCGCACACTGGCCCTCCAGAAAGATGACATCAGAGCTGCTTCTCCTTCTGCAGTTGCTTCGATTGGTCGTCGAGGTTTTAACCACAGAATACCCCAAAAACGTCAACAAAACGGCATTATCAGTGTTGTATAAGGTAAAGAGCATGAGACACACGTTTCTTGAATTGGTAGGATCACGCAAATGTTGCGAAACTTCCTTCCCCGTGGGTGTTGAGGTGTCATACCCTGGCTTGCCAGGAAAATGCAGGACAGCAATAATGCGGACTCCACTTGTTCCGTCTGTGTGGGATAGAGCATTTCCCCCTCGCACGCGTGGGTTTCTCCGGGTGCTGTGGTTTCCTCCCACATCTAGATGCTCGTTAATCGGCCGATAACGCCTTAATATACGTTGAGGATCGCAGAGCTTGGGCAATTCTTGGTGTGGCCGCCTTCCCGCTTGTCCAAGGTTCCTGCTTGCACCTCTCGAGTTGAATGCTGTGCGACGTGTTACGAGCTGAGATCACGATTGTCAGGAGGCGACTGACCGCCGGGTGAAGGCAGTGACCGGGAGCAAATCGGTGAGCGCTGAATCGCCAACCAATCTGAATTCTCCACTTTTAATTCTATCGCGTGCAGACAGGCAGAGAAACCAGCCGGGTTGCTCCACCCACCCCCGAGATATGACGACGGTGTTTCTATTCCATTCTATTTCGGATTTATACAGCGCCCTTGCCAACTCTGATCAGATTTGCGGCCTGTTTTTGTCACACCAGGTGGCACAATTCAAATACACTTTCAACCGAGTGGTTTTTTTTCCGCAAGGTGAGAAAACGGTTAAAACTGTGCGGTACTCATAATAGGGTTTTTCCCCTTTTTTTCTGGCAACAAAACCGAATCCTTTTTACAAGGATTCATGTCTGCATTAACCACAATACCTGCAGTCAAAATGCAAACTAAAAAAACATACTATGATAATATATGCATTGTCCTTGAAACTGATTGGTCCACACCAAGTCAGTCAGTCAAACAATGGCACTTGGGGGTCGGTCCCGCGACCTCCTCGTTCGACACTTCAACGTGGCCTTAAAGTGCACCTAGCCTCGCACAGGTGCCGCGGTGACGTCACCGCCACTTCGTGGCGAATGGCGATTGTTGTTATCGCTGTTAAGATAGCACGAATGCGTGACGAGGGTGTGCTGCAACGTGGGTGCGCTGCGTGCAGGCAGCGTGTGGGAGCGCGTGCGTGTCGCGGTGGTGTGGCAGGCGTTGTCACCGTGTTAAAGTCACCTGGCGTAGTGAGCAGCAGTGGTCTCGTACCACTGGCTGCTCGCTGTGATGTCTTCATCGGGGATTCGCCCTTCCTGCATGCCCAGCGCGTACCTGCATAGGCCTGGGGTTGGTGGACCGCGAAGGGATGGGATTGATCAAAGCGGGGGTGGAGAATAGGTTCAGCTTGCACTGCGCCTTAAATCGGCGACACAGAATTTTAAAAAACAAAAAATGTGTCCAGTGCGCCCACCACTCACACGCGTGCAAGTGTGTATGTTGAACTTCTTTTGCACCATACGTAGACAACTGGAGGTTGCCCTTGTTATTATTACCTGCTACCGCCAAGGTAATAGCAATATCAAAAGTACTTAATGGGAACCAGAAGAGATTGTTGTGCGCCAGTGTTGTATACTGTGGTCAAAGTACGAATCGCAGGACATTAATACAATTATTGGAGGAAGTGATTGAAGGGCCTAATAAAGCAGGCCGCAACGGTGGTCTTCCACACAAACAGGAGACAAAAAAAGCAAACGCCATGCACAACAAGTTTTCGAAGAAAAAAATCTGGAAGCATTATTGGGAGGAATGCGACTGGAAACCACAGCAGATCAGCATGTTGACGATGAAATAGGCAACGACTGATAGCGAGGTGGAATTGTTTGGGAGAATTCCTTTGATCATGAAAAGCAACCAAGATACATCATGTGGCTGAACAAAGATTGCAGTCGGTGTTTGTTACCCGCATTGTATATAACGTACGGATCGGACACACAGAACCCCCGGCGATGTGACAAAGAGCCCCTGTTGAGCCTGAACAGACTTTTGAGGCAAGTGCTGTTAGGGAGCACCTATTAAGGCCGGCACAGCACACGAGGGGGTGGGTGACCAGCACCACGCCCGGCCGCCTTTGTCTCCCAAGGAGTGAGCAACGCTACTCACATGCATGCAAGTCTGCACATGACAAGGAGAGCCATCCATCACAATCAGAAAAATGTTACATAGAGGTACAATGGCTCTCCATATAATGAGTGCCACGGTGGAGAGATGTTAACTACCTCGACTGGTCTACAGGAGGTCGTGGATTTTGGAGTTTTCATGTCTCTCTACCTTTGGTTGCGTGGATTTTTCTCCAGGTCCTCCGGTTTTTCCCTCCGCATTTAGAAGCATGCATTTAGAACATTTGGCTGTTTAAATTTCCACACGATAAGCCATTTCGTTGAGCTGTCAGATCGCTTCTGAAAAAGAGCTACGTAGCTCATTGGGCCTTAACTAATAAAATAAATAATAGTTGAGTTTAGTTAAGTTTTTAGTTCATATGGCAGCAGCGAACACTGATGACTGTATTGCACAGATGAGTCCTAACGAGGCCGAAACCGGTCGATGGCTGTGTCTTTGTTTCACGGCCGCCTGTTGGGATGGTCGCATCTTCTCAATCACCCTTTTGAGTCGGCGGCTCTAAACGGCAAGATGGCCACGCGTTCAGTTCTCTTCTGTTGGTGATCTGGACAAGGCCGAGGAGGCTATTGTACAATGCAATGCGCACGCTTAGTGAATGTTAAATCCATTGACAATAGCTTGGCACAGATGCACGCCCGTTTCACAATGGGTGTCGATCGAACTTGGCGTGTACATAGCCGACCCAGTGAATTGGACGTGCGGAGATGACAGAGATCATGGAGGTGGTGAGACGTGCTGTTGGGCCTGGAGCGTGCGCCGCTAGTGGGGGGGGGGAGCTTGCAGCGGTCGTCCAGGGATGAGGAGAGACACCGCGAGCCCTCAAAGTGAATCATTACCTTCTTTGGTTCTTTTGGTAAAGTCACGTAGAATGAGAATAAAATAATAAATTAATACAATAAAATAACACAATAAAATTCTCACGACGTTTCGGCTACAACACAAGTGGCCTTCATCAGGTGAAGGGACGAGACTGTCTGGAGGACAGTCTTCTACGTGACTTTACCGAAAGAACCAAAGAAGATGAATCCTTGCAGTCACGAAAGCTTTAAATCGAAATTGAATCATGACCGTTGGATCTCAACGCTGCTTCCCCACTCGAGGGCGATTTCGCGGCTCAAACGAGCACAGAGGCAGCGCTCATCGCCCGTCCACAGCCCTGAGCCAAGTTATGCAGGCAGCGAGTCTGTCCATGGGGCAACCGGAGTTGGAATCGCGCACGGAACTCAAGCACGCATTGGGTGGAGCGAGAGGAGCGACAGTTGCGGCGCACTGCGCCACGAACCCGGTGGGGCCCGAGTTTGATTCCTGGCCACGGACAACACAAAAGAAAGTGACGCTCGGTGTATTTTCACCTGCTCATTCAGCGTTCAGCTCGAATCGCAACACATACTTTGGCAGTGAAATTATGTGGACATACACGCTCTGGACGAATGCACTTTCAATAGGGAATTAAGGGCAGTGGTATAACAAGTTAACTGTGCCTGCAGAATGGATTAATACTGGAGGGCAGCTGGATTACTGTAGATCATAAATACTGGAGTATTTTAGTTATTTTTATCTCAACTAGTTTTATATTACCAGGTAAGGCCTAGCGAGCTACGTTGCTCTTTCTCAGAAGTGACCTGGCCACAAATGATAGCTCAACGAAGTGGCTGATCACGTGGAAATGTATGGCAGCCAAATATTCTAAATACCCGTTGGTTCGAAACGTGAATGGAAAACCCATTTCATTACAACTGCTTTTTGCGTTTAGTTTGTTGTCCTTCACCCAATTAGCACGGTTGGCTACGTACGTTGCGAAATAAGTTCAACACACATACATACAACACACTCATGGACGTCCTCCATCCCTTGGCTGGATGGAGGACGTTAGTCTCGATCGCCAGCCATCGTCCCTTCTCGCCGTGCCGCATCCTGCCCAAGTGCAATTACTTAAAAAAAAACAGTTAGTAATTAAGTCTTTAACCTACTAACGTTTCTCTCACGCATGCGTTCCTCTTTGTGTCCCCCGGTATAATTAATTCCCAGACTGCACTTCTCCACGCTTCTCTGCCCTTTCTCACAACGCGCTCCCCCAACTGACAAATAAACACGAACACGGCAAAGCTCATTCCCCGCTCTCATGCTGCCGCTTAGCCGATCTCCCTCCCCCTCACTGACGTCGCATCATCACACAGCAAGAAACTCGTGAAAGGGAGGACCGTGGAGGGTCGTGAGGATGGCAGTTACTATCTAAACGAATTTGTTTAGATTTTACCAGGCAAGGCCCACTGAGCTATACAGCTCTTTTTCAGAAGCGACTTATCATCACGTGGAAATGTATAGCCGTCAAAGACTCTAAACGCGTGGTGATGTTGATTCTAAATGTGGAGGGGAAAAACTGGAGGATGCGGAGAAAAATCCACGTGACCACGGGGAGAGAGAAAGACACCGCAAACTCCAAATACACAACAGGTGTCAGGGTCGGGATAGAACCCACGACCTTCCTGTACATCAGGCGAGGGCGATAACATTCCAGCCACTCTCAACCACGCACCGTGCCATCGTTCCAACGGCACGACTCTGCGACGACGCTCCGCTCCCAAATTCCACCCGCACGAGGCAACGCTTTGACGCTGCTCACGGTCAAACAATCGGCCGGCCAGTCGGCTCATCACCAGGCGATCCCCGAGGTGGGGTTTGGGCCGGTCGGAACATCTGGCTGCGTTGCGTGGCAGCGTTGCAAAGAAATGTGCTCCGCATATGGGCTTTCACAAGCTAGGGGCTGACAGCACGAAGCGACTGCCAGCTCGCATCCAGGCCAAGCATGAGGGGGAGCTAGGGGAGGGGTGGTGAAGGGAGGCGAGGTGGGGGGGGGGGTTGTGGCGGGTGGAGACGGGAATTGGAACGGTTCGTTCGTGTGCTGCGGCTGGGTGGCGCTGTGCCTCGGGCGCTCTGATCACGACGATCCTTTCGTACGTTTTGATGTTCGCGCCATCCTTGTAGCGCAAGGCTACCGCGAGAAGGTGCCGCGCTTTCCCAGACGAGTGTCAACTGTCAGTCGGGGGGGGGGAGAGGGGTGCGATGTTGCCCACGCGGTGTCTGATTGCGCGAATTTACGAAACGTCTGAGAAATTCCACGCGAAGCAACAGCAAAACCCTTTGCAGCAAGCGCGCTGCCGCCTGACCATGTCACCGAGTTCAAACCCCTATTGAGGATTGACTCGGCCAACCCCCGTGGAGCCTTTAACAGACCGTTGGGGCAAAGGTTGAGTTCGGTGTTTGTTACCCGCTATGTACAGTGACGGAAAAAAAGTACTTGATCCCCTGCTGATTTTGTACATTTGCCCACTGACAAAGAAATGATCAGTCTATAATTTTAATGGTAGGTTTATTTGAACAGTGAGAGACAGAATAACAACAAAACAATCCGGAAAAACGCATGTCGAAAATGTTATTAATTGATTTGCATTTTAATGAGGGAAATAAGTATTTGACCCCTCTGCAAAACATGACTTAGTACTTGGTGGCAAAACCCTTGTTGGCAATCACAGAGGTCAGACGTTTCTTGTAGTTGGCCACCAGGTTTGCACACATCTCAGGAGGGATTTTGTCCCACTCCTCTTTGCAGATCTTCTCCAAGTCATTAAGGTTTCGAGGCTGACGTTTGGCAAATCGAACCTTCAGCTCCCTCCACAGATTTTCTATGGGATTAAGGTCTGGAGACTGGCTAGGCTACTCCATAGGCAGCATTCGTCCTCCTCCAAACACGGCGAGTTGAGTTGATGGCAAAGAGCTCCATTTTGGTCTCATCTGACCACAACACTTTCACCCAGTTGTCCTCTGAATCATTCAGATGTTCATTGGCAAACTTCAGATAGGCATGTATATGTGCTTTCTTGAGCAGGGGGACCTTGCGGGCGATGCAGGATATCAGTCCTTCACGGCGTAGTGTGTTACCAATTGTTTTCTTGGTGACTATGGTCCCAGCTGCTTTGAGATCATTGACAAGATCCTCCCGTGTAATTCTGGGCTGATTCCTCACCGTTCTCATGATCATTGCAACTCCACGAGGTGAGATCTTGCATGGAGCCCCAGACCGAGGGAGATTGACAGTTCTTTTGTGTTTCTTCCTTTTGCGAATAATCGCACCAAATGTTGTCACCTTCTCACCAAGCTGCCTGGCAATGGTCTTGTAGCCCATTCCAGCTTTGTATAGGTCTACAATCTTGTCCCTGATATCCTTGGACAGCTCTTTGGTCTTGGCCATGGTGGAGAGTTTGGAATGCTGATTGATTGATTGCTTCTGTGGACAGGTGCCTTTTATACAGGCAACAAGCTGAGATTAGGAGCACTCCCTTTAAGAGTGTGCTCCTAATCTCAGCTCGTTACCTGTATAAAAGACATCTGGGAGCCATAAATCTTTCTGATTGAGAGGGGGTCAAATACTTATGTCCCTCATTAATATGCAAATCAATTTATAACATTTTCGACATGCGTTTTTCTGGATGTTGTTGTTGTTATTCTGTCTCTCACTGTTCAAACAAACCTACCATTCAAATTAATCAGCAGGGGATCAAATACTTTTTCCCCTCACTGTATATAACGTGCGAATCAGAAACACAGAACCCCCGGCGAAGTGGCAAAGAGCCCCCGTGGAGCCTCAACAGACTTTTGAGGCAAGCGCTGTTCGCGAGCACCTATAGAGGCCGGCACGGCACACGGAGGGGGTGGGTGGCCACCACCACGCCTGGCCGCCTTTGTCTCCCGAGAGATGATGTTTACACATTGCACAGGGTACTCATTTCAGGCTAGGTCAACCTTGGGGAGGCTCGGGGCTGATTCAGATAATCGTCACTGGTATTGCCCATGAGCAGGAATCGAACTTGGGCTACCAAGTTCATAGCGCGGCGCACGAACTGCTGCGCCACCGCTCCCCACGACTCAGCCCACCATCGTCATCTCCGGCGGGCCATTGAAGAAATAAATAAATGCCGTTTTGTGCAAAGTCACCAGTGGTTTTCTTTTGGAGAGACTGACCCCCCCCCACCCCATAGGAATGTGGAATTTACAACACAAACTCAGGGCCGCCGATGGAAATGAGCACCGTCCGCTGTTGATTTGATGTTATCCACCCCAGAGGGATAAAAAGAAAATTCCTACTGGACATCTGTGATAAAAGAGCTTCATAGCTCATTGGATTTCTCCAGTACAAATAATTATTTTTATTCCGGATGATGACGGCGCCAGTTGGACCCCAGCCAGGGATTGAACTCGCAAGCTTCCCCACCGCGAGTCACGTGCTCTGGATAAGCCGCACACGCACAAGCAGCACAGTGCAAGTATGGAGCCACCCAGAGTTCGATTACCGGCCATGGCTAACATCAGTGGCGAGCGATATCAGAACTTTGCAGGACCCCCCCCCCCCCGGTCGACTTGCCCGCAAGAGGGATGTTGTGTATGAACATCATTGGGAAGACAAAGGTGGCTGGGCAGGGCACTAGCCACACCACCCACTCAAGCCCCACTCTGGCCTTCCTATGTGCTCGCTCAACAGCACTCTCCCCGATATTCCATGCAGGCTATGCGGGGAATCTTTGTCTTTGAACCATGAGCTCTCTCGACACTTTAACCATGGTCTGTTAAACCAAAGCATTTGGAGTCTGTCCCATGACGCCCTGCCAACTAGCCTTCGCCACGCGCAAGCATGGCGCAAATAAAGAAGGCGCACGTTGCCTGGAAGGTGGCGCGACGGTTGCTTCCGCACTTACTCGGGTTGACTTGTGCCTCTGCCCAGCCGGCCAACCACAGCACCACCACAGAGATGTGCATCCTGGGTAGGTAGCAGTGCATCTTGGGGAGGAGATGTTGCACTTGGAGGCGGTGGCGTTGCATCGTTAGGCGACCTTGTGACGTCTCACTCGGCGAAGCACCTTGAAAGCTCTGACTTCATTTCCTGCGAGCAACAACGTGACACAATTACCAGGCCGTGTGAACACAAGAGAAGCGGGACGCTACTGCGCTGCAGTTGTTAGCAGATCCAGCGGTCGCCAGTTCGGTCTGCCGGCAGTACATTAGGTGCATGTGGGTGTAAATGTCATTTCCTGTACATGTTTACAAATACGTCTTCAGATACGGTCGTGTGTTCTTAATGTACGTGTGTATGCTGAACTTCTTCCGTGCCGTACGTAGTCAACTGTGCTCATCGGAGGTGTGAGGGGAGGACAACAAACTAAACACAAAGAGCAGTTCTAGTGAAATGAGTTTTCGATCTAGATTTAAAAGTTCACAGCTCCAGTGCCTTCCGAATATCGGAAGGAAGAGCGTTCCAGACCGCCGCAAAAAGTGCATCTGAAAGCGCGCGATACGGTGACCCACCGTCTTTGTTTGATGGCTCGGCCAAAAGCCGTCGCTGCGAGGATGACCGGAGTGTCACGCACTTCTAAAGCGAGAGTCAAGCAAATTCTGGCAACTCCCTGATGATCCTGGTTGTAACCACTGGCAAAACGTCGTTTCCCAATTGTTGAGCGTGCGCGGATAGCTCTCCAACACAACGGTGGTTGCTGCTACGGCAGTGTTAAGTCAGCCACGTTTGTATCACGTAACAACTTGATTTACTAATGTGGGGTGGGCACGGTTTTTTTGTCCGGCGACCTAAATGCGGGTGTAAACGGTGGTTACCCATCGATGTTCACACTGTCCACATTTTTCACATATCCGCCAATACCACGGTCCCCGGCAAGTCGGATGCGTGACAATGTAGACAAGAGCACGGGCATATATGTGACGGTGTGACGATTTACAAAAGGGGTCACCACGGTGGCGAGATGTTAACTCCCTCGCGCCTGCTGTATATTTGGAGTTAGCAAGTTCCCCGCTTGGTTGCGTGGACTTTTCTCCGGGTTTTCCCTCCACATTTAGAAACACGCGTTTAGAGTATTTGGCTGCTTCAAATTGCCGCGTGATAAGCCACTTCGTTGAGAAATAAAATGAGCCAAGAACGTCTGTGTGCAACGCTCGTGACGTCACTCCACGTCGACCAGCCCCCCTCATTAATAATCATGCGCAGGTGACGTCCTCCACATGGACACCCCCCCCCCCCCATTCATAATACTTAGAGGCTGACGTCACTCCACATGGGGGGCCGAGGCGCCTCCTCCCCCCTCCTCGGCGTCAACTGACAACCCTCACTACAAAGGCAGAACCCTCACGTCACGTGATCTGCGTGACGCTGTTGTTGAGACATCAAAGTAAAAAGGACGTCGTGATGAACAAGGGATTATAACCTTTAAATGAAATAGGTCTGTGTCACAGCGCCCTTACAAATTGCACACGCATTGATGCAATTAATCTCACGTCGCCTTCTGCTTTTCGCTGGCAAGTGTCAAATTTACTGCAATACACCCGTCCTTGGACGGGCAAAAGGCTATTTGAGAAATAATTTGTGGCCAGGTCGCTTGTGAAAAAAAAAAGCTCTGTAGCTCAGCGAATCTTAACTGGCAAAATTATTTGAGTTGTAGTTGATGTGTGATGGTGTGATGATCAACAAATATGCGACAGAGAAATGCGTTACGCGTGGCAGCGTTGAGAAAACGCAATCTGAGCACAGGCGGGAAAACTGGGAACAAAACGGGCGTCATGCGTTCGTGTCAATATGACCTGTCCTTCAAAGAGCAAGTGTGACACATAAATCGTGCTGAGTAATTTTTTTTTTTATATATATAGAAGGGATAATTGTATCTGCTCCCGAAGTAACCACGTGGCTATGCTCACACAAACGTAACATAAACACGTAAGCACAAAGTAAAACGTCTATGCTTCAACAAACACACACATAAAATAAACACACACAAACACACAGTAAACCATATATACATTGACACACACACATACAAACAAAAAAGACTAAATTCCTCCCATAGAGCATTTAACGGACTTGGGGTAAGTGGACCTATTCAGGCCTGCACGGCACACAAGGAGGTGGGTGGCCAGCACCACGCCTGGCCACCTTCGTCTCCCCAGTGGCGATGTTTACACATTGCACCAGGTACTCATTTGAAGCTGAGCCAACCTAGGGGAGGCCCAGGACCGGTTCAGATAATCGTCACTGGTGTTGGCTGTGAGGGGGAATGGAAACTCACATCACCGGGTTCATAGCGCAGAGCACTAACCACTACACCACCGCTCCCCACTCTCCACTCCTCACACAACAACCGCCATTCGCCACTAATTGACGGTGACGTCACCACGACGCTTGTGCCAGGCCATGTGCACCTTGAGCCCACGTGAAGTGTCGAACGCCCGCTGGCAGGAGGTCACGGGCAGACCCAAGTACCACGGGTCGACTGACTAAGATGACTGAGATGACTGGCTGATGCACCACCTGTGCCCCCTACTGTGCCAACCTGCTGTGCTTTAGCCACTCGGCGCTCCGCTCATTGTTGTGAGCATCGCTCCTCCGCCCTCCGTTGTTGTTGGAGGGTGACTACCTCCAACTGCCCAGCAGCGTCCTTCACGAGCCTCCTCCACAGAGGCCGATCTTGACACCGCTGGTACCAGTCATCGGCAAGTCCACTCAGCTCCACGTCCTCCTGTACCACATCACTCCATCTCTTCTCTAGCCCGTGCCGTGTCCTTTTAGCCCCCTCGATCCGGCCGAACAAAACCTGTTTCGGCATGCGGTGGCTGGGCACGCGGGCTACATGACCCAGCCATCGCAGCCTTGCCCGCCGGAGGAGCTCACCGATGGGACCTTGCCCAGATCTTTCAAGGATTTGTGAGCTCCTCACACAATCCAGCCTGGTTAAACCCAGGATGGATCGTAGGCAGGCCAGCCTAAATGTTTCTAACCGGCGAAGATGTTCCATTAGGGGGGTCCACGTTTCGCAAGCATAGAGAAGGGAGGGAATGACCGTGGCCGAGAAGACCTGAAGCTTAGTGCGGAGCGACAGACCAGGTAGCTTCCACACAGCGTTACGCAACCGATTAAATTATATTGCCGCTCGACTGATTCGGAGTGAGACCTCTGCTGTTAAACTGGAGCCGGTCATAAGCACACTGTCCAGGTATGGGAAACTCTCCACTCTCTCCACAACTGCCCCATCACACACGCGCACAAGCGCACACACGCGCGACACCACGATCACAGCCCTCAGCTCTCGTGCCTGGGACCATGTGCACGTATGCATGTGGTCATGCAGGGACGTGTTATTGTCCATGCAAAGACGGTGCTGCAGGGGTAAATTTAGAAAAAATGTATTTCTTTTTTTACGTATAACATTCACCTTGAGTCTATCCTTGAATAGCAACTGCTAAAAGTTGATTAGGAAATAGTGTTGATTTCGGGTGACCTTTGAATATTATTAAAAGCGATGACGACGACGATGATGATTCACCACAGAATTTGTATCAACCATGTGCCCACGTTGGGTATGATATAATATTGTTACTTTCAAAGAGGAGTAAAAGACAATCATTATTAGTCTTGTATTTTTTTCAGGACATCCTCTCTGGAGACTCAGGATTCAAATATACACGAGGGCCCTAGGGATTTGTGGGGAATTCTTTGGCCGAGTAATTTTACATGTGGGAGGAAACCGGAGAGCCCATAGATAAACTCGCACATGTGAGCGGATAACACTCACACAATACAATTTCATACGCAGGCTCTCACGTGTATCATTATCCCGATTCACAATTGGGTTTTTTTCCTTTCGGGTTAGGTCTGCCATAGGAGTGACGTCAATCGGAGCTGTTGTACAATACCCTCCCCATCAGCCAACGCAGTCGCGCAAACCACGCTGTCACGTGGGCAAATGTGCCACTGATTTGTGTTTTTTTCTTAAGCATACATGGCCCCTTTGCTAACAAGCAAAAACCGAATGGCGCATTTGGCCAGGAGTGTGTACGTCTACCGAGGAGATGAAGCGACGAAATCGGCTCGTGCTCGGTGGAGCCGAGTTCAATTTCCGCGCACAACAAATATCGGTGTCTTTTGGTGTGTGTGTGTAAGTGGGGGGCGGTAGTGTAGTGGTTAGCACGCTGCACTACGAACCCGGTGACCTGAGTTCGATTCCGGCTCACGGCGAACATCGGTGATGATCGTGTGAAATGGTCCTGGGCCTCCCCTAGGTCGACTCAGCCTCAAATGAATACTTGGTGCGGTGTGTAAAAATCGTCATTCAGGAGACAAACGCGGCCGGGCGTGGATCTGACCACCCACCCCCTCGTGTGCCGAGCCAGCCTTCATAGGTGTTTACTCTTAGCACTTGCCTCAAAACTCTACATGGGGGATCTTTGTTGCATCGCGTAATCGTTAGAGGTGGTGACAGCTTGAGGAGGCCTTCATCCAGCAGTGGATTGAACATGGCTGATGATTTTGATGATTCCTTAAGACCGCCACTGCTTCAGTAGCAGCAGCGATTTGAAAAACAAGTTTAAAAATACCAAGGTTAGTTCCTACTACCGTAGCCAAATTGAGGCCCAACATATGCTAAAGATACTCTCAGCACCATCATCAATAACAACCACTGTCTTATAATTGGAAAGATACATAAGCTAATGTTTCGGCCAGTAATATTTACGCAGAGCAAGGAGAGCCAGATGATTGTCACTTATATTCGGAGACGATATTTTACGATTTCTACGTTGGCAGGCCACGGCCAGCGGTGGAAGTTCCACATTCCTATGGTGAAGGCCAGTCTGTCCAGAGGCAAACCGCTTACCGACTAACCACGATGTGGTACTCGTTTTAGTCACCCTAGACGAATTATGGGCCGTGTCAAACCACGACCGGGGTTTGAACATCGAAGCTTCCGAGCGCCACCCCCACTCCCGATCACCCTGTGTCAGCCATCGGGGGGGGGGGGGGGTTGATTTGACCATACCTCACCATGATGGTGAGTGCTGGGCGAGTGAAGCGAGAACTGAACGGTGGTGAGGGGGGGTGGCGTGGTA